CTAAGCTAGCATAAAGTGGCCAAATGATTTCGTCTTTTAGGCCTCTAGAGGCCAATTCTTCTGACGCGCCGAGCAGAATATCTGGGAAGATAGGCTGGAGCCAGTAACACCAACCCCAAAGCTTTCCTCCCAGAAAACACGTTCTAGAGCCCGAGTAGATGCATAGATATAGAAAGAAGAAGTTTCTCTACACAAGATCCATTGTTCTGTTCAAATACCAGTATAGCGAGGAAATAGCTGGCCTATAATGGATAGATGAAGCCCTCGTTGTCCAAATCCGTCAAATCCAGCATAGCAACTTCAACCTTGACCTTGACTAATTGGCCTCTCTCGTCAAGCTGTTCGACGTAGTGATAACCAGCGTTTTCACCAACCGCATCAATCCTCTGCTTTCGAATCTTGTTCCTGCGAGCAAGGATGAAGTGAATCACCCACAAAATAACAGGCGTTCCGAACCAACTGACTACAATCATCGAGGACCAAGCTCCATAGAATCTTGGTTTAGCTGACGCAACCCATATCTGGGGTGATACCAGGTTTCCAGCACTATAGCCAATCATAAACATGACATTCCTAGTAAACTTTTTTGTATAGCCCGCAGCTGAAGAGTTGGTCCATCCAAGAGCTATGATGTACGCAACGCCGTAGGTATGGGCAGCCAAGAACATGCAGGCAAGGAGACCGATGGTCCGGTCCCAGGGTACTGTCACCATTCCTATACCACCAGCAACTGCAGGCAAGCACCAAAGGGTGCAGTGCAAAGCAAAGTTCTTGGGGTATTTACGAAGCGCAAATGCTGCGATGATGCAGTCGATAATGCCAAAGGCACCTCCAGCGACTGCGACAAGAGTGGATTCAAGTGGACTGACTCCAAGAGATGTGACGAGAAGGTTCTTTTGACCGTAGGTCAGGTTGTTGCAGTACATGAGCGTGAAGGCTTGCAGCGTGAACAGCCAAGAAACTGGATCTTTCAACGTCTCAACGAACTGTGCTCTCTTGAATTGCTTTTGCTCAATCGAGCTTTGCTGTGATTGCTGAACACTTTTGATGACGTGAACCTTCTCTTGAAGCGTCAAGAACCGAGCTTCAGCAGGGTTACTGGGGTAATCGAACCAGACCCAGATGGAGAGGATGAAAGTGATACCGCCAGTAACGACATGGAGCAGCTTCCAGGGTAGAACGGGTCCAGTAGTCCAGAGGAGTCCATAAGCGATGAAACCCGTAACAATCGGCGCGCCTTGACAAGTGATCCAAAGAATGGGTTGCAAAAAGGATTGTTCTGCTCGATTGAAGAACATGCCAATGGTCATTTCTAACGCTGGAACAACCACGCCTTCTGCTGCGCCTAAGGCAAGTCGCAGTACAATGAGTCCTGCATATCGGGTTGCGACACAGTGGAGGAAGATGACGACCGACCAGGTGAAGATGATGCCCGCGATGAATTTGCTGAAGGGCAGACGTTGTATGAGGTAGTGGCCCGGCCACAAGAACGAAAGATATCCTATTCGAGTCAAAACAATGCAAAATGAGCAACACATCTAACGTACCAACGTAGAACATGGTATTCAAGTTATTGTACTGAGCTTGCGAAATGCCCGTCTCTTCGAAAAGTCCAAGAATTGCTGCATAGCCTAAAGTGGATATATCAATCTGGATTCAAAGACAATACGTCAGCTATCATAGAAAGGGCATAATATCGAGGGGAGAACAAACAAAGAGCATGATGTTGATTGTTGAGAGTAGTCCCACCAATGGTAAGTACAGCTTTCTTCGGACTCTTCTCTCTTGTTCAGGAGAGAGAGGTTCAACACTATCTCCATGCTCCTCGATAAGACGAAGAGTCACATCGGCGTATTCTTTTGTCACTGTCTGGCCCTTGATAGGAGACTCAATCGACGGAGTGTCAGCCTCGCCGACGACATTAATTTCATTGCCCATTTTGATAAGATTTCAGTGGTTTGAAGAAATGAAACACTACATGACGGAATGAATTGAACTCTTAATCTTTTTGTAACAGATGATATGTAAACTATTGCGGAGAAGAAACTCGGTCTTTGGCCATTCGGAGCCGCAAAGCACTGGAACTAACTGCGGAAACGCAATGACGAAATAAGCGCTATTTATGCTTAATTGTACCACATGGGGTAAAAATCGTTCTATCAATGCGTTTTTGGAAGTTTCTGTCGGCATGTAGAAATTATTACTGGAAAGGGAGGGACTACCCCGGTATTCCGCAATTGATGGCGTCGATTGCGTTATGGAATCCGAAGTTACATGGCCTGTAAGTCTCTAGTACACCCAATACATCAAACTCAATATCTGTGTTGATTATCATTCTATCTCAAATATTATCATGTCTTGCACGCTCAATCACCCTAGGTTCGAATGTCGGACTAGAATGTTTCAGGGTAGTGACAGGGAAAGAGCCAGAGTTTTTGATTCCCCCCAAACGTCCAAAGCTCGGATCCCTGAGAGCGGCTTTTGCTTCTTTTAGAAGCCGAAGAAATAGATCAAAGGCGGGATAACAAGCTCTATGGCCGTAGCAGCCTTGAGATTCGGTGCACCCCAGCCTAGCATCAAGCCAGAGTTCAAGCGTGCAATACCCGCAACGAACATGATGGCTCCTAGCAGCGCAAGAGGAACTTGTCTTGTTCGAAGATCATTTGTAGCCCACCATAACAGGGTACCGTATCCTGCCCACGTTGTTCCGAGAAATCGAACTTGGTTATCTAGAATGGAAAGCGTGGGCTTTGCAAGTAGGGCCCTTTCTGCAGCTGGTATAAGAAGTTTGTGACCGCGAAGAACAATGGCGGAGCCAGTGACGATAGAAAATACGGAGAAGAGTCTTAATCCGCCTGTGAGATATGGTGATGGGCCGGAGTCGGACATGATGTTTGGTGAAAGTGTTGCGCTTGATATGGAATCGACATCCAATTAGATTGAGAGTTTAGTTATCGTATAGAAATAAATACTTCGAGGTGAGTTTTATATTTATAAAGTCTTACAATCTCTGATGCCGTGCTGATCAACCTCCGGAGTACGTATCCAACATTTCGGCTCCGGTTTGAAATTTGACATATATCGGAAATTCCGACGGCTTACTAACAGAGTCTGAGCATCATTTGTCGTGCGAGCCGGCATTGAAATGCTCTGACTAGAAGACCCCAGGTGATTGAGGGCTGCCTGCGACTACCTGCGCTCTCATTAGGGTTCCTGCTCTGCAGCTATAGCCCTCCGCCTCTTTCTCCTTTGTTTCTTTCTGCAGCACTTTACACCGGCACAAGCCACGATAAGAACAAAGATGACAACAGTTACAGACAAAGCAATTGTCAAGGCTTTCCCATCACCCAACGGACCATCAGCCGGTTCCTTGTAGTCATACTTCCCATCGGGTATTTCCTCTCCGGGCGTCCATGTTGGAACCTTCATACCATTGGTCAGGGAAGGAAGTTGCGGAGTCAGCGCCGATGTATCTGTCTTGTTCCAAGACACAGTACATGCTTTATGAAATATCACAGATTCTGGATTTCTTACATTTCTCTCGTTCTTTGTCTCGTCGTTCTTGGGCGGTGTGGGCGAACCGGATGAACTAGATGAGCTGCGGGAACTGGGAGAACCGAAGGGAACGGAGGAGGAGGGTTAATGTTGGTCTCGTGGGACCAAACGAATAAGTTGCTGGTTGACGAAGCTGATGAATTGCCGGAGGAGAGTGAAGATCTCGACTGTCTCTGACGCGAAACTCTCTCATTGTGCCATGAATCCATACCCCCATCAACGATCAAACTTCCCATTCGGTGCAAAACCTGTAACCTGCCAGAAACCTGCCGGTCCTCTTTATAGCGCTTCGCTTGCTTTTCCATCCGTGAGATAGTCTTGAGTTGATCTTGTATACAGGTTTGTTGCTCTCGTCTATTACCCATTCATTAGTCTCACAGTGGACTTATATGAGTAATTGCTTGAACTCACATTTGATTTTCAAGATCTTTGATCTTCAAACTTGCCTCATTGTTGCCGTCGTTCCATCATCCTTACGATATTCTCGATTTCTAACTCGCAGGCCTCGATGCCCAGCATGTTGACAATGAGCTGTATGTTCTGTTGGACTCTGCCTAACTGCAGAATGACCTCGAGGACATCCTTCTTTCCGAATCGCCACATGATGTATTTTATGGCTGAGATAGATGTGTCGTTCTGGTCAATCAAGCCGTCGGTTACCGTTACCAGTCTGTCAAGGATGCTCTTGGACATATCCTCGGTGGCCTTGATAGTGCCTTCCGAGGCCAAGTCTTGCAAGACCATAGACTGTGGGAACCTTCGATAGTATCGCTTCAGAGTGGCATGACTGGTCCTGATCGTCGTGGAAGAACATGTTATCTGATTTGCGTAATTCGCTATCTCAAACCTTGCTTTTTGTCTTCCCTCTGAGTAGGTGTATAGCTCTATCGCTAATTTACCGCAATACTTTGCGAGATCAACGAGAGCCGGGGCTGCAACGATAAGGCTAACGACTTCTGCCATGGTATTAATCGATGAAGTCTAGCATGAGAGATAAAATTGTGGCAATGTGGCGAAACGTGATTGTAGATCAGGCTCCGATGAGACATTTCAATAAGGTCGGAAATATTGGTTCGCCAGGTTGAAATAAGGCAACCCAACGTATACCCACCACGTAAGCAAGGCATAATCCTAGAGAAAATCAGGCTGTGCGAGATTGTTATTTATGCACTTCAACAAGATCAATTAAAATCGACCGGAGCCCCACTGGATAATAAAACATAGAGGGCAAATCCAGTATCCTAGAAATTGTGACGATTGGAGTTGGATGGAAGTGGGCTGGGTAGGTAACAGAAGAAATATCCTCTAAGGCTTAGGCTACCAAAAAAAATTATCCTAAGCGCTTACATAAACTGTCCTAAGATGACTAAATTCTTTCATCCATCTGTTATGATTATGGCGGCCAACTCTTCCGACACCCTGCGGCTGGGCTTGTAATTCTGCCAGACGACTGTGAAATCGAGTCCATAGGCTCGTAATAGGCCCCCTTCTAATTGCTACTTCAGCCGTCTGCGGGGTACTCTCTTTAAATAATCTTTATCGACGCTCGAGGGGGAGCTTTCATCTCCTTGTGAGCAACTGTCATCCTCACGTGTCCCAGCCGTTGATAGGCAGAAGTACCTCCCACTTGTCCTAAGACCAGGCCCTCTACGTCGCCTTTTAATGTAACTAACCAGATCACCCAAGCAGTTCCTTGGAAAGACGACACGTCTTCCAAATATCCCAGTTGTCTACCCGTCGTTGCCTTGATAACCTTACCATCCTCGACAGCCAGTAGGGTATCATGACGAAAGGTAAAAGCTGGATGCAAAAGCAGCTCGCTGTCTGACTCCCACGTTATGGTATGTTGAATCCAGTCGGGATGCTTGGGTGATAGGCAGACACAGCCTACTCGGACTTTATGTAGTGGCGCTTCAACAATTATGTGTCCGTCAGATACTCTTCCAAACGGTGCGTTCGGTGACGTTGGCCGACATTCAGCTTGTACAATAACCGGATTAGACTCATGGTTGAAATCTTCCGCGAAGGGATGCTCACGCCCTTCCACCCCGACCCCAACAGGCAGAGATGCCCAAGACCAAGACGGCGCCGTCGGCTCTTCTAGTGCGAGTGACCGAACAGCCGTCTGTCCTGTCTCGACCACTTTCCAGCATAGAGATACATGCAAAAGACTGTGCCAGAGACCAGCTAGATATTTCTTTCCGAAATACTGCGAGAAGTAAGAAGCAATACCTCCAAACGCTGGCAACTTGTCCTCTTGAAATGAAAGTGTTCGAAGAGTGTATTTGCTGATAAGGCCGGTCCAAGCTTTATAGATGGCTACTTGACGATCAACTCCTGGGCCAGTGATTAGTGATTGGCCAATTGATGAGACAGGCCAATTTTCTAGTTCGGTCAATGTCTTCCGTATGGTCCACTGTGCTTGGTCGGGGTGGTGGTGTTCATCGAAGCACTTCATGGTGCTTTTGCATTCCCAGATGACATCGGATGGCGTGAAATGGATTAGCCTTGTCGAGAGGACGGCTTCTTGAAGACACCAGCCTCGGCTGAGGAGGATATCTTTGCCGCGCTTGAAGTAATTCGAAAGTCCATTTAGGAAAGCCTCGTGTGAGTAGTGCTCCTGTATGTGATACTTGGCAGGGCGTCCATCGTGATCGGTTGTGGTATAAGACATCGGCTGCCATCTGTCTTCCGCATTGCGGAGGAAATGAGTATTGCTATCCCAAGACCTTTCCACCGCTGTGGTGAAATATGCATGTGAGTAATACTGAGCCATCTTGGATGACTCAGTTGCCCAATCAGAACTGTTGTCTTGTACAATACATAATGAGTCTATCCAAATATCATATATACCAAGCTCCTTGCACAGCCAGATGGCGTCTTGGAAGACAGCTGTCAGTTCCGATATGGGTGTTGGTTTTTTGTATTTGGAAATAGTGCCTTCTGTAGTCCTGACGGGATGGACACCAGGTGGTCCCCAGCAGTGGCTGAGGGCCGCATAGACGCCTACATCGGACTCATCAGTGTCGATGAGATGTATTGTCTCGCCTTCGGGATCTATTCGGATAATCCTCGTTGGCAACTTCGTTCTCTGTCGTGTGGGGCAGGATGCATGAGCAGCATGACTTAATGAACAAGCTCCCAGCTGGCTCTTTATAAACTGGATGCTATCTAGTGACTTTGGTGACCATGCCCTGGCGGATAACTTGTTGAGCTCTGTTGTGTTGTCTTCGCTTGTCTTGATTGGTCAGTTGATAGGGCCATCACAAGGGATAGAATACTCACTGTATCTATACATTGGATATCAATATATCGATAGAAAAACGGATCTCGATGTTCAATAGGTCCGTAGTTTCTCTTCCTGAACCACGAGAACTTTGCGACAACTCGTCCATGACTCTGGAATAATAGGAAAATCTCTTTGTCTGTACCGGGACTATTATTTGATGATAGGAAGTCTGAATACTCGTCTACCAGTGACCTCTCTAGTCTATCATATATGGTTTTGAGAAGAATGCAGCGATGACAAGCAGCCGACAGATCTTGAACCTGAAATGAGGTGACATCTAGTTGAAAGTCATGACAGACCCCACAGGTTGGCCCTATCTGACCTGAGGTTGAGTGAAGGTCATGAATAATGCTCATATCGATCCACTGTCTGCGCCAAAGCCTTGCTGGTCATGTAAGAGAAGTTGCATGAGCAGTTGAGGTTATTCTGAGCAAGTGCTGATTCGTTCGCGCTAACCCCACTCTCTTACGTAACAGTCTGTACTACAACATCATTGGCTCGAATCATGTACAGGGTAATCAGACCTCAAGCAATGGAAGACAATCGAAGGTAACAGCACATCATAGCCTGAGTTCAATTATTGTGTGGGAAAGCTACAGTGAAATTTGGCAGGAAGGATATCATGTATTAAACTACTAACAGAGAATGGTGGCTATGATTTAGATGTTTCTTTTCTCAAAATTGGGTGGCCGCGTAGGAGTTGGGAAATTATTTTGCACAGGGACACACAAGTCTAGAACTGGTGTTCTAAGTCGATCCTACCCAACTGCAGACATATTACAGCCCTTAACTTACTAGGATATAAGATTCATTGTTGAGTCGTATTTGCACAGCCTCATCAGAAGTCCCGTTTGCTTACACGCATGATTGTTATGCCCAGTACCGGGTAAAGGTCCGTCGTTCCACTCAGACCCTGCAAAAGAAGCGGCCCACAGGCTATTCAACTACCCATGTGGGCCATTCTGTCAGCTGAGCTTGTAACCAACTGCTTGGTAGCGGTTAGGGCCTCAGAATAAAGTAGACCAAAAACCGGTATAGAGTGGTTAAGGTATTTCGTCTGCTATGGGACCGGCGACCATTATCCTGATGGGTACCAATCCCCGTAGGGTGGTAAGATAATTGATCCCTTGACCTCAGCCGCACTACGGACAAGGTTATTACTTTCTTGGCTATCGTAGGGCTGACCAACCCCACAAACAACAAGTAGTGACCATGTATACCAGTCTATAAGTAATTCCCTCATCCGCCCCCAAGCATTATGTAGAGAATCGCTATCCTCCCGCCATGCCTTCCGACGAGAAACAGGTACAGCTTCCTGCTGATCTGCAGGAAGAAAACCGCGATGTCGCTGATCTCTGGAAAGATGCGCTCAAGGCTTACAAAGGCATTGTTGGCTTCGATCTGGAGAAGAAATTTGATAATGTTCAAGCCATGATTGATCAGGGAACCAAGGAAATGAACAACTTCCACTCATTTCGACACAACGACAAGAAGGTATTGTGGCGCCCCAAGCTTTAGAGGATGATTCTTCTGTTCTCCACCTACTTGCTCAGGTCTACGAGCTAACCTAGTCAAACAGGTCGATAAGCTTAGATCGTTGTTTGCGAATAACCTCGATTATATTCAAAAGGGTGCGAACCAGCTTATCGCCGCCGCAACCCCGGCGTTTCCTCCGGCTGCCGCCATTGGCACAGCTATCACGTTTATGCTTGGAGTAAGAAGCCTGGAAGACCCCAAAACGTATTTACTAAACTGAGGCGAATCAGGCATGCCGTGACCAAAGAGCCGACTACGACCTTGTTGTCGTCTTCTTCGAAGATATGAACAGCTTCCTTCAGCGCGTCGTTATCCTTGAGACGAGACTTCCCGGCCACAAGGCCTATCAGAACTGCCTTATGGATGTCTTTACTTCCTTCCTTACTATGTGTGGCTATGCCCACAAGTACATTGAGCTTGGAAGATTCAGTAAGTATTACTTCTAATGCCGTCGTTGATAAAGATTATCTAACAAGATTAGAAAAATGGATCAGCAACCTACTATCGGGAGGCGACTCTGATCTTAGTGGCGCCCGCAAGACGATGGATCTCAAGCTGACGCGACTTCAAAACGCCACTGAATTTGCAATCCTTGGAAATACAGAAGACCTGAAGAAAATGAACTCTGAGCTTCAGCAAAATTCAGATCTACACACAGCAATGCTTGAAGACCAGAAGGAAGTCATGTCGTCAATCCAGGAGAATACTGAGACTATTCGCAATGATATGGCCAAGTTGCTCAAGGCCTTTACTGATCAGAAGAAGGAAACAACCAAGAAGCCAAAGACCTTCAACAACAACAAGTCAGTTTCAGCAAATCGGATTCGAAATCTCTTTGTCGAGATTGAGGGCGAAGACCACGAATATTATGTGCTGAAAGACACCATCATCCCTGATACCTGTAATTGGCTCTTCGATGAGCCTCAGTGGGAGGAATGGCAGCCAAGCAAAGATCCGAGCCCAGTCCTGGCTATATCGGGTGACCCCGGTGTAGGCAAGAGCCACATCGGTGCCACAATCTATGACAAGCTACACAAGGAGGTTGAGACTGACTCCGACAAGACCCTATGCGCAGCGCATTTCTACTTCCGGGAACAGGCCAGCGACCTTCACACCTTCGGCAATGCCATTAACATCATCGTTATTCAAGTGGTTGAACAGAACGAGCAGCTATGTGAGCTAGTCCTCGCCGAATTTAATAAGGACGAAACGTTTATCGACTACCAGGACCCGGAAGATGTATTCCGGAAGTTACTGGTGCCCATTTTCCGAAGGGACTCCAAGTATCATCTCAAAGTCATGTTGGACGGAGTCGACGAACTAGAGGACTTTGAGAACCTAATCAAATTCCTTGGAATCATCAAGGACGAAGAGCTGCGTATCTCCGTTGTTGTCACGAGTCGACCTGAGCGTGTAAAGGAAATCTCTGAAGCGAACATTCCGACTATGATAATTCCAGTGGACAAGGAAAAGCAGAAACTTGATTTGAGAGAGCTGATATGGAACCGTCTCAATTCGATGAGTGCACTGCGTACGTTCGGTCGGTATGTGAAGCAAAGGGTGGCCGATAAGCTCGAAAAGCACTCGCCGAGTAAGTTCCGACTCGAACGCAACTGAATGCTCTTACTAATCAATTAGATATGCTATACGCTGAGAATATGCTTCATAGGCTCAACTCGCTGGGTCGCGAAGCAGCTGTTCTGCGTACTCTTGAGAAGCCTTTGCCCGCAGACCTTGATGAACTGTACGAGATTCTTGTCGCCGAATGCTACAAGCATCTGATCCCAGACCACAAGTCTCTGGTGAACAGACTTCTACACTGGGTCGCACACAAGCAGTCTTTAACCCTTGATGAAGTTAACTCTTTATTGAGGCTATGGACTAATGACAACAAGTTCGATATTGATGAGATCCCAGATTCGATCCTCAACTTGATTCGAATCGGTGATCCTGGTGCAGACGCCGAACAGCGGGCCAAGGTCAAAGCGCAAGGCTTTTGGGGCACTGCTGTGGAAGAGCTTGATAAAAAGAACGCTGACCCGGACGCTATGTATAACGATGGTGACCTACCTGTCAAGTTCCACGAGCGCTCAATGAGGGCGTTTTTCTGTGACACAACAGGCAAGGAAGAGTCTCGACGTTGGAAACCCTCCGAAACCAAGCGTCAACTTTTCTCCGACCTGGCAAGCATTCTGCGCCGCAAGGACGAGGATATCACCATTACGCCGTCGCTGAAGGCATATATCTTTGAGAAGATGCTTCATTTCTGGCGCGACATCGACCCGCAGAGTCATACTGCTGAAGAGCAGGCCGAAGTGATGGAAACATTTGCCAGCATCATGCTGAACAAGAACGGCTTTGCCGAACTCTACTGCAAACAAGAACTTGGTGAAGTTAACGCTTACACCGAGATGTTCAACGACGAGTCGTTTGAGAAGGTGTCTACATGGGCGTCCCTGGTCGAAACGGAAGGCGTCAAATCATTCCTGAGTGACGATGTGGCTCAATGGTGGGCTGTTTTGAAGGCAAACCCCCGAGATTGTCTCCTTGAGCTACTCAAGGAACATGTCAGGGTGCTATACCGTGAACCCGAATCACTGGCTGTAATCAGATGTTTCAACGCAATCGAATGCCTGGTCGAATTGGTCAGTCCAACCGGAGATCTCTTTGTGACAAAAGTACTAACTGATGCAGCGACCAATGGACGACACAATCGCTGAGCGTGCCAAAGCCGCCTTTGGAGACCAAGCAACAAATGAAGAGGTTACCCCTCAACAAAGGCTCGGCATGGCCCTAGAGAACCTTTTCGATGATATACCCATGTCTCCAAATGCACATCGAGCGGTGGGACTCATCCTTTTCTATTACTCAACGGCTGATCATGCTTCTCACTCTTTCGAAAAGGCTTTGGAGATGGAGGATGACCTTCTGGGAAGGCTCGAAAGTCAGCACGCTATGGCCCAAATTTTGGTCAAAAAGGAAGCATATGACGAGGCATACACTTATGTCACAAAGTATATGGAAAACGTCGATCATGATGCTGTAATCCCATCTGACAAGCGTGATGCATGGACCATCAAGGGTAGTATTGAGGTGCTACTGGGAAATAAGGAAGAAGCAGCTCATTCATTTGCACAAGCTCGAAAGTCCGACCCAACGGGTTTGACACCGGGCGAAGCTCTTGAGGAGGAGATCGTCCTGTTCGCCAATTCGTCACCCGAGCGGTTTATCGAGGTTCTGAAAGATTGGAACCCTTTGGAACGCTTGACGTACCTGGCACACGACTTTCAGGAAGGCGGGAGGTTGCTGCACAGTCGTATTCGAGACGCGGCACTGAAGACCCACGAGGAACAATTTGTCCTTGAAGTTTACGAGGACGCTATCAAGCATCTGGATAACGTCAAAGCTTCGGCACCCATCCAGGTCGAGCTGGCGTTATTCCATTGGCAGGTCCGCAATGATCCACAAACAGCTTCAAAGGTTTTGGATCAGGTGCTCGAGAGCGGCTCAAACCTCTGGCTCTACGCCATAACGAACGCCAATCCTATCGATATCTTGGGCCGAGCCGTGACGTACCAGTGCGACATTGCGTGGAAGTTCTTCCAAGAATCTTCCGACCCGGAGTTCAAAGCCACGCTTCTTGAGTCTATACGAACCATCTTGTCTCGACCTTTAGCACTGGATGTTCCACCCAATATGTCTAACGCCCACCGCCCGCTGACTATGGCCAAGATGTACTTCAAGATGGGACCTGTCGTTGAGTCTCAGAAGATTCTCCAGGATGCTGTCAACAACTGCATCGATCATTTAAGTGATACTGTTGATTGGAATGACGCCCGAAATCTGGTGTTCCTTGCTAAGGTTCTGCATGTTCTCAGCAAGAAGGTTCAAGGAAAGAGTGAAGAGCTCACACGGGTGGCACGGATCTTAGTCTCCGCACAGCTCAGCCGTTTGGACCCAGAGATCCCTCAGAAGGACGAGGATGAGAGCGAAGCCGGGCCAGATACACCAGGCGAAGATGATCAAGATTCCAAGGAGCCTGCGCAAACACCGTCACAGCCAGATGGGAAACAGCCAGAAGACCCAGTCACCGACGAATCACTACCTGATGAAGGAGACTCAATCCCAGGCGAGCGAATGTGCGAGGGTGAATGCAACCCTTCTAAGGGGTTTCATGGGTTTGGAAACCAGATTGCGTACCAGTGCATGGACTGCTTCGAAGGATTTCTTTGCGAGGAATGTTATGAAAGTCGAGTCAGCGACGGGCCCAAGTCTCTAGCAAGCAAGACTCTAGTCAACTGCGACAAGGGCCATCAATTTCTGAAAATGCCCATCGAGGGATGGCATGGTGTCAAAGATGGCAAGGTAATGCTTGAAGGGGAGGAACCACTTGAGTTTAAGGAGCTTCTACAGCAGGTTCGTGAGCTTTGCAAGGGAGCTTGGGATGAGTTCTGGCAGGGGTAAATTTCAGGATGTTTAGCAACAAGAGTGGTCTACTCAATGGACTAAGTCGGGCAAATACTATCTTGAAGCGAGATCGTCTCTTAGAATTACTTGGATCTTTAGTCTGTCTAACTAAGAGACTCCCACTTCTGTGATGAACCATCGATATCCTCAGTGAAAGTAACTGGCTCTCGACGCGTACGATTCACTTTGAGATCGAAAACATCAAGTCGTTGGTACCCCCCAACGACATCATGATACTGTTTCCCTTCAATGCAATCCTCAATATCAAGATCTGCATAAAGAATCCCCTCTTCTTGCTGCAAGAAATCTTGCATGATCTCCTCTCCGGTATCATTGACGGTAAAACCTTTCATAGGTGCGCCGGTGGGATCCAGGAATTGAGTCGCGCCACGTTGAGACTGTTTCAGCACCCGCGTCAGATACTCAGAACTTCCAGCAATAGTCTCTATAGCATCCTCTCCCAGAACGCCCGAACAAAGAACACCGAAGCATTTAGCTTCGAAACAATGTGCAGCTGCCCTCGTTCTGTTCGCCGTGACATTATCGTAATTCGGTATATCCCCAATCTTGAGCTCCCCCGACTCGTTGACTGGTGGCACTCTGGTTGGCCAAATCGGCGGCCAAGTAGAAAGATGGATGTTCTCACCCTGCGCCATAAGAGTATATCTCGCCAAGGGATTCGTATTCTCTCCACAAATCAGATTCCCAATCTTTCCAAACTTGGTATCCGCTACACGCAGACCATGGCCATCTCCAGGCGCCCAGGTCAACTTCTCAAAGAAAGTAGGCATGAGTTTCCGATGGTGTATCAGAACATCGCCCGTCTCCTCGATAAAGATATTTGAGTTATATAGAGTCGCAGAGCTGAAGCGCGTCTTCTCTGAGAACCCCATGCTCACCATGACATTTGCCTCTTTAGCAGCACTGCGGATAGCGTGTATCTCATTGCCGTCAGCGAAGATTGATTCTTGTGCCATACGTTTGAAGAGATCATGATTCTCGGTGGGTGGACGGAGGGCACTCCATATGGGAAACGCTGGGATGTATGTTTCTGGGAAGACGACCAGATTGGCCTTGTTTCTGGCGGCTTCTTTGACGAGAGTGATGGCTTTTGCTGTTGTTTCTTTGGCAGAAAGAAAGACAGGGGAGACGTGACATGCGGCGACTCGGATCATTGTTATTGATTGGATATGATAATGAGTTTCAACAGATTGGTTGAGCTTTGTTACTCGATGAAGCTGTAGTGTTTATAGTCGTTGTGATGATGGCAGGAAGTGGGGTACCGGCAATAGGGTACGCCGGATGGTAACTCATTGCGGACGATCATTTGCCCTTCCGGACTGGTAATTCATTTAGGCAATGGAACCGGGGACGAATGCAACCAACCAACCAAATCATACTATAATCCGCTTATTCCCCGCATGGTCCTGTGAGAGATTGTAATAAAGCTATCTTTATCACCTCAATATTAAGTCTCTCAACCAAGCTTGATACTACTATGTCTACGTACCGGTATACTCAGCTACCTACCGGCTGTGTTCGCATCCTTTGCCTTCAGCCGCATCAAGATAAGCAATCTGCCATCCGATGTCAGCTATCCGATCTCGAGGTGCGAGACTCAGAAGGGCTTTGCCCCTACGAAGCGCTGTCTTACGTCTGGGGCTCTCCAAATAAGCCTCACACAATTGACATCGAGGGCTATAGCCTGTCGGTTGGCGCAAACCTTTACGCAGCTCTATTAAGTCTTCGATATACCTCTCTTGAGCGTATCCTATGGGTAGATGCCGTTTGTATTGACCAAGCAAACATAACTGAAAAGGAACAGCAGATCCAGCTGATGGCTGAGATCTTTGCCAAAGCACGTTCAGTTATTATTTGGCTTGGAGATGCGACAACCGCTGAAACCGAAGATGCACTGGAGGAAATCCGTGTTGTCGCGGCTAGTACATCTGATGGGGTTGAAATAAGTATGCCTGGAGAGGAGCCAATCCTGGAGATCCTTAAGCTTCCATGGTTCAAACGTGTTTGGGTAGGCTTCGTGTGTCGATACGTGATGGAAGAACCTACTAATACTGTCGCTCTAGGTACTTCAAGAGGTAGCGGCGGCGCGACACGTTATAGTCAAGCTCGGTCGCGTGGAAATAGATGGGTATGCTTTTTGCACCGGCCTTGACGCGTTAAAGCTATCCTACCATGGCGATCTAGATTTACAGCTATTGATACGCTCCGTGTCATACCTGATGCGTAGGGCTGTCTTCCGTCCGAGGCAAATCGCTGAAAAGTCAGAAAGATTCTCACTTGACATATGCCCTTTAAGCGAGCTGGTGGAAATGTATCACAACCGTCAAGCCACAGAGCGTCACGATAAGGTCTATGCATTATTTGGCATGTGCTCTGATGACCTCGAAGCTGCGGGATTAGTGGTTGACTACAAGATTCCATGGAATCGGCTCCTCCAAAAACTCGTCAATTACATTCTTCCTCAGTGCTTATCTGTGAGCACCTGGAATGATAACCAGGTGGCCGTAATTGTGACATTGGTTCACGTTCTCGGAAAGGTTGTATCGGTCAATTCACGGGAAGAGAGCCAAAATATCATGATAGATTGGAAGAGTCCACACATCAAATGCCACGAAACGTCATCTTGGTGTATAAAGGCATCAAGCAAATCTGCCGAGGTCGGAGACATTGTCTGCCTTTTGGATGGATGTTCAAGGCCTACTATTATCAGGCTATGTGGCATGAATTGGATTATCATCTTTATCTCAATCACACCCGCAATTAAACCTGCAGAACTTCCCCCCTTATATTATGACAGATGGGATTGGCACGAACTCCTTGAATCACTCGGCAAACCGTCTGTTGAATTCGAACTAATATGGGATTTGGACATGGAGCGCGACCAAAGGAACCCGCCTCCTGCAAATGTCGCAGCCATGTCGCCTACAAAAACGATCTCCATTCAAAGGTCTATGAGGGACTTTGAACGAAAGGAAACATATGTCTGGTTAAGGCATAATGAGAAGAAATCCCTTTCCGAGATTCAATGTCGGCTTCGGGAGATTATTAAAAAGCTGGACATTTCCACAGTGATTTCTAAGTTGAATCATCCACTCTCAAGCGTCTATCTTAAGGAATCGATTCATGCCCTACAAAGCATTCTGATGGAATGGCAGGCATTCAAGGCAACACAAGAAGTTCAAGACCCAGGGGTAAAGAACGAGCTGGAAATTGACCATATTATTGACACCTTGCTCGGTATCTATGGCGGATGGCTGCCATTGAAATGGGCAATAGATGACGGCCATATGGCAGTCGCCAGATTAATGCTGCACTTTGCTGACCCTAACGCTGGAATTAAATATGACCTTACACCACTGGCATGGGCATCCAGCCATGGATATGATTCACTTGTTAAGCTACTGCTCGACACTGTCAAGGTAGCTCCAGATTCTCAGAACAAGCGGGGTGAAACACCCTTGCTGTTAGCCGCCAAGTGGGGATATGATACAGTGGTCGAGAAGCTACTCGATACCGGCAAAGTTGATCCAGATGCAAAGGATGACTCGGGAGACACACCGCTGCTGGTAGCCGTCTTCAGCAACCATGTCGCAGTTGTCAAGTTGCTTTTGGAGACTGGTAAAGCCAATCCAAATGTCAAGAAAAAAGTCACCGCGCATTCTTGGGTGGGACGAACACCTCTTATATATGCAGCACAGAACGGTTTCTTGCAAATTGTTAGACTTCTCCTTGATAGCGAAGGAGTGGATATACAGTTCCGTGACGAGCATGGGGGAACGTCATGTGAATGGGCTTTTGTAAAAGGGCACAAGGAAATTTACAACTTGATAGCGGAAAGACTAGATAAAGAGTCGAGGGGAGACTTAGAGCGGGGACAGTTAGAGCTGAGAAGGAAGGTAGAAGAGCAACCTGATGGGATTCACACTTCACTAATGCCTCTTTTTGGATGCACATAAACTTCTTATGGTTTTAGTTAAAACTACACTTTAATACTAAGAGAGTAGTAAAAGGAATCATATAATCTTATAACTCTAGAATAATTATAGATAAGAGGAAATGCATACTGTATTATAATTATAGTTTACAAAGGCTATGAAACCCGAAGCTGCCATTCTGCCGACATTTGAATACTATCATAATGTAGGCACAACGTGATTGTCTACCTCATCATTGTAGGTGCGTTGTTGATCCACTTCCATGGCGGATGACTCAAACGGTGTGTCTTAGCAATGGGGCTTAGCTCAGACGACAATCAAGAGCTTCTCGTTCAGATCTCACTCTCAACCTCATCTTTACCATCAAACACAAGTGAATATCCGCCAACGACCATGGAGGCCCGGGGTCTCAAGCAAGACCTCACGACTCTTCTTTCCCAACACTTTCAGATCGTCACCTCAAACTCCCAACGTCAAGATCAATGGTATAAGCGCTCCTTACAATCATTCACCTTTCACCATGGCGACAAAAGGCCGTTGATTCTGGTCCCTCGCGAATCGAGAGACGAATGGGCGCCTCACGTACGTCGATTTGCATCTTCACTCGGCAGAATGATAGTGGCCGCCGATGGAAAAACGATGGAACAATCGACATCGGATGCCAAGCTCTTCTCTGATGATGTCCTCGATCAAGCGCATTCGCAACCGCTTTGCCTCGCCGTAACCGACTCGAAACCGTTATCACCGGAAATGATGCAAATGTCGTGGTGGACCACCAAGACTCAACATCCAGATGACAAAGCTCGTCGGGTGAAGGGCATCAAAGCCCTTATTGCCTGTGGACAAACCGAGTCGCTACTTCGTCTGGCTTCATGGCCCCAAACACATCCCGATCAAGTGTCTCATCTGCAGAAGTACCAATGGAGCTCGTTGAATAATGGACGGCAGACTGCTGTTGATAAAATAATCGTCATCATGCTGTTTCTGGGCGTCACGGGCGCCTTCAAGGAAGAGTTACTCGAAAAAGACGGTCAAAAATACTGGTTACCGGTCGCCTTTATGAGTGACAAGCCACCATTTACTTCTTACATCGAGACTTTCGATGGAAGGCTCCCTGCTACGGACGACGAGATACAGCGAGAACTAAGGTCATGTATCCAAGCTTTACGTACAGCTCAAGCATGGTCTTTAAGTATCGAGACTCCCATCAACTGGGAAGAGCGGATCACGGACAAGTTCCTATACATTCTTGGTTTTGAAGCTTGGAACAGAAGTAGAGAGGGTGAGGGATATCTGGGCTGTGATTTGAACAAGCCGAAAACTGCCAAGTCACTGCAAAGAATCAGCCAGGACGACGATGGGGATGACGATCCACCAGTTCGAGAAGCCACTAAGAAGTCGATGGATCCATTGAAGCTGAGAGAGCCTAAAAAGGACGTGGAGGTAGAGCCTACTGAAGAGGAGAGGATCGAGATGAATGAGCTTGCGGCGCTGGTGTCTAATGAAGCAGACTATGGACGCAAGCGAAGCACAAAGTATTTGACCAAGAACAAGTAGTACACTATCTCTATGGTTCGAAACTCACCGGTCCATGCGATCCATCAAATCTCTGCAAAGCTCCATTATGTGAGTAATCTTTTGCTCATAACTCAATTTCCCATCCGCCAAACACTCAGTAGCAGGCCTAAGCACTCCCCAAACTCCAATGAACTTCCCACCATCCATCGTACCTATTCTTTCAAAAACCCTCTTCAACCCATCATGCTACTGTGTCTCTTGACATTAATGGAGTGAACAACCAGTATTGATAGCAGCTCTCTTCAAACGTTGACGCCGCCGTTCAAGCTTCAAATATAAAGAAACTTCGTTCTTGAGATCTTGAATCGCCTTAGTAGATGCATCTGTTTCGTCCATATCAAGTAAAGCATCAACAAGCTGGGAATCTCGAAAACCAATCATGACGAGTCTGTGTGACGCTAATGTTATGAAAATTCGACTGTCTGATACCGCAACATTGTAAGGATCGTATACTGCTGGGAGCTTCAATAGTCTTACCCCTCGCCATTCAATCCAGCCATTCGCAGAAATTCGGAGCAGCGGATTATGACGATGTTGAATTACCTTCGGGCTTGTTGGGGGGAATGGCGGTGCAAGTATCTCTTTTGGAATTTCAATGATGCCCCACTCAGTCTGAATACCGGCATCCCCTGGCTGGAAGGAAATTACAGGTCTGTTCACATCTTGTGGGTATGCCCAATGTATGTCGACCAGACGAACGCCTGTTCTCCAGTCCACAATCCTCACTTTACCATCAAACGTGAGGGCCAGGAACCGCTCAGATGGAGAAAAGACATAAGTGCTATAATAGCCGTGGTAATCCTCCAATGACGTGTAGCACCGTCTGGATGCTATATGCCAAATGTCCATCTTCTGAGTTTTCGGGCTTGTCACTGCCAGAAAAGAAGGTGAGAGAGCCTTTATATAGCCGCATCCTTCGATCGCCAATGGCTCATCTAGTGGTCTTTGCAGATTCCACACAAGAACACTAAATGTGTCGATATCCACAGTAGCTACAAGTCTGCCATCTGAAGAAAGTCTTGTTCTGGACAGTCTGTAGCAGCCTGATCTTTCGAGAGTGTGCTGTAATTTGAAGGTGTCGCCAGCCTTCTGTAAGATCAGAATTAGTGCATTTCCCCGCTCCACCTCCATACCTTTCTCAGGCGTCGACGTTACCGCCATCCATTGTGAGTCGTCTGAGAAGGTCATGTTAAGATGTCTGTCCCTCTCGTGTAAATGCCATGCAGGAACACCTGTACAGGTGTCCGACAGCAAGATGTGGGTCATGCGGCAGTCAGAACCGTAAAACCTTTGAGAAACGTAAAACTTTGAATCAGGAGAGAAATAATCAAGGTTTTCACTTTCTTGCCCCACAGTAGATAGCCGTGCAAGTTTACCGAGGGATATATCATAAATCTCCGCCATATGATGATGTTTGACGGCAAGCTTCTTTGAATCAGGTGACAAACTAACACCGAAGATCTTGCTAACGCTGATTGTTGAAGCATGCTCACGCTTGGAGCGATGAAACTCTCTTTCCCAGTCCCATACTTTGAGCCGATTAGTGTATCCAGGCGTGGTCACCACGACTTTACCATCCGGGGAGAAGGTGGCGGATGTGGTGATATCGCCATCCCGTATAGCCATGTTGAACTTTCTCGCTGTGCGTATAGACCATACCTGTATTCCAGGGCTCTCCTTACTACCAATCATCACATGATTTGAGTCCGGTGTGAAACATAAGAATCTGTTCCAACATTGATCGCCGTATGTCAGGGAGAACGGCTGATCAACAGCTAGACTCATGATCTGAAACGGTTTAAGTGGGCATAGATATGCAATAAATCTCGAATCAGGCGAGATTATAAACTCATGATAGCGTTCATTGGTATATGGGACAAAAAAGCCACGGATACGGCTATAGGTCTCTGTTGACCAGACCTCAATCTCACATGCCGTAGACATAAATACAAAGCCTTTGCTATCCGGCGTAAACTTGCAAGAAGGATTAGAGGAAATGGCCCGCTGGAATAGGTATTCTCCAGTGAGACAATTCCAAATCCTGAGCAAATGGCGGCGGCAGACTTCATCGTTTAGAGAACAAGTTGAAGCCATGAGAAGCGTAGAATCAGCCGAGAAGCAGATCTTCTTGGCATAAGGGCGATGGGGATTATGATGGCGGCTCCTTGGTTCAATATGTATACCTCGGAACTTAGGTCTCGAAAAAGCCTTGCCTGGATCATGGTTCCAGGCGAATCTGCATAATTCCGTCCCAGCCGCCCAATCCCAGATCTGCCAGCCTTTTGTTGTTGAGACAAGGAGGAGTTTTGAATTTGGCGAAAAGAACAGTTCTGAATCAGACTTCCAGTCTACTTGTAGCTCGCACCAGATCACGTCCGTCTTAAACTCTCTGATCTCCACAACATTGTGAAATAGATATGACGACAATGCTATTACCTTGCAGTCCGGAGACAACCTTGATCTTTCATTGAACAGTAAAGTACTACGTTTTCCGGTATCCCAGTCTAGTAGACCAAAATCCCAAGGATGCCCTAACCGTGCAAAGAGCTGTGTGGTATTTGGGATGAACCTGATACACTTGGAGGCGCTGGTAAATACTCGTAGGGACGAATCCCAGTCCGCGCTCATATTGGGAACAGCATCGATCCATTCGGGTATGTCCTTCATGAAATTCAACTTAACCAGACTATTTTCTGGGGCAAAAAGCAGCGCATGAGAGTATAGTTGCAAAGGGTGTGTAGCCACGGTCGTGATGCTGAAGTTAAGAAATTTCAAAGCATCCTCGAGGAATTCGCTTAACGGTAAATCGTTCTGTTACCAATTTCGTGAGCAAAGTTTCGATGACATTCTAGTTATTCAACTAACCTTGCAAACAGTACGCAATGTCTTCAGAAGACCATTGATTTCCCAAGGCCGGTTCAATAACACCAAAGCTTCGATCCAGTGAAGAAGATGCATCTTTAAGAAGTCCATGATCGGTTGGGTATCAGCAGACTCTACACCTGCCAGCGCCAGATGCTTGACCCAATACACACATGCGTATTGAAGCTCCGACGACAGATGGCTATAGATGCGATCTCTCTTGATGTACACACGGTCCGTTTTAGGGTGGCGCAGATCACAGATATCTGTCTTCAGACTGGCCGCCATCACTCTTAAGCAATCTGCTGATAGCTTGCGAGAGATGCATTTGTAGTTAATCGTGAATTCATTGCATGGATAGTTCACTTCATCGATTAGGTACTCCCTGAATGAGAGATGGAATAGACGGATGGGTACTGCTGGAGACTCTGGAATATCAAGAACAGAGTGGAGCTTATCGAGTCGATCATGTATTCTGTCTTGGTCAACATCAATCAACCTTGACAGTACATCTATAGGTAAAGGAGTTTCAAGGAGGACAATAGCTCCAACGATCGTTTGAAATTCCCGGATGGCATCTGTTCTTCCTCTTGGGGACAGACCGACAAGCAGTTGATCTAAAACGGGCGCGTACGTGGCTTGCATCTGGTCGCCACTTGACCAGCTTGTAGATTCAATGATTTGCTTTAACCGAGTTTTCGGACCACTGTTCCTATCCGAGATGAATCGACACATGGTGGCAGCGAAAATGAATAGAGGGATCGCCCGCTCTATTAGGATGTGTAGGTTATCATCTCCGGGCCAATCCAGGGGCAGCCAGCGGCTTTCAGTGACAGAGTTGTTCCAATCGAGTACAATTCTCCGAATTTCATGCCGGAAAAAGAGAGAAATATCGTGCTCGATCACAGGTCGCGGGATTTGATGGAGAATGAGATCCGTGAAGCTTCCTGTTACGCTATTAAATCCGAGTCGGATTGGGAGCTCTGGGCGACTTGTGAGTAAGGCACGCAACTTGACATCATGAAGCTTCCCCATCTGGGTAAAAAGATTGATAAGAAGCTTGATGTCCTGTTCAGAGTTGCATTCGTCGAGAGCGTCCACAATGATGGCGATATTCAAGCTGCCGGGTGGTTGATGTTTGGCTGCTTCTGCGAGAGGCTCCATTAGGAGTTTCTCAAACTGCAGTCTGAGCCCTTTATTACCAATTTCGGGATCTTTCTTGATAGCGCTCTGCAGAACCGTGCCGAAAAACATTTGGTTCAAGGCCAGCTGGCGAGCGATGGTGGTGCAGAACTTTGCAGCACTTCCCTGGTCAGCATAGCCCCTTTTGAAAAAGAAGCTAGCGCCAAGGATACCTTTGCTGGAAAGGATTTGGGCAACAGTCCGTGATATAGTTGACTTCCCGGTCCCAGCCATGCCATTAAGCCAAAATACAGTCTTGGAATCGTCGTTCTCTACCCATTCTGATATCTGGGTGAGTAGGTCCACCCGAGTGTTCTCCAGACATTTCGGGTTGTGCTCCTCGCTGTGAGAGTCGAAAGCTGCATCCTTGACGTAAGGTAGCTTATCGATGATCTCTCGATACTGGTGCGACTCTGCCCGATTATTGATCACATCGAGAACTTCACTGCCATACCCGATATCAGTATATAGTCTCCGCAACACAATCGCTCGAGCTTACCGTTGTCCCTCCATGGTGGAGTTTATCTCATCAACGGTGGAACGCACTTGAAAAGTCAGTCAACGCTTACGACTTAGAAACGAATTAACATACATTGTCCTAGAACCTCGTTCATGCGTCTCTCTTCCTCGATCCTCGTCACCGAGACCTGACTCAACAACTCTTTCGCATAAGCTGCTGCTGTCATAGCGGCATATTCTTGCCACTCATCGTTCTTATGCGTATCTGCATAGTCACAAATCCCTCGTATGACGGCGCAAGGGAAGGTGTTAACTAGCCCTGCTGCTTCCATCTCGAAGCATATAACACCATTTTCAGAAGACAATTTATCTCTAATCTTTGCGTCTCTCATAAGTTGATTTGCGGACGCAATGATGCCGTAATGAATTGTTGGGTCGTCATCCCCCTCGCCCCGCTCATCTCGCTTCACCAGTTTGGGTTCAGCTTCAGTGCCTTCGCCACAGGCATCATCGCATGTTCGGCGGTCCTTAAGCGGATGCACGCTGGTGGAAAGGTAGAGACGGTCATGGGACCTAGGTGGGCGAGAATACCTTCTTTTTAGTCTTGGATAGCGTTGTAGACCTTCACCAATGGCCTCTTGTATGTGATGGCCATTCATCTCGTGCTCTGTCTTTAGTGCACTTATAGCAGTACGCAGGGCTGTAGGGGCTTGATTTAGAAAGCCAGTCGTCTGGAATTCCATCTCCTGAACTGTACGTCCAAAGTCGTATTGAAATATGCCGCCAGTACCCTGTCCAGTAGAGCTTACGACAACATCGCCTAGTCGTATGTCCTTCCGGGATGTCGGAGCGCCACCGCCAATGCCGACTAGAAGACCGATCCGGATATTGGGAAAGGCATTTAGCATGTTTGTGGCGACGTTTGAAGCAGACGACAGTCCATATTCGCCGTCTGGTAGCACAGCGATAACTACGTTATGTCTCCCGATCTTGCCTAAAGCATACTGATTGGTGTCTCGGTTTGGGATGGAGCCTTGTAAAATCGTTAGTTGATCCGCCTATCGTGATGAAAGGTTTTGGGCAGGTCTAGGCGCTCTTCAATCAAGGACTATAGAGGCTTGTTCTGGAAAAGTTGAAGGGTTACTCACATGGCGGATGATTCTCATCTAGCATGGTTTTGGCCGCTGTGAACTCCTTGGAGAGTGCGCATACCCAGCCAATGGTGTAATCATCAGGATTCGACATTTTCCCGTTGGTGTCGACAGTTCAGTCGAAAGGCAAAGGCACTGGTCTTGGTCTCCTCGATACGAAAAAAACGTTAGAAAGTGAGAGAAACAAGGGAAAGAGGGAAGCGAAGACCTTTAATGTCTGTAAGAAGGACTTTTGTTTCAGCTGCACCAGGCTGTAGCAGGGTATAATGAACGAAAGCGCTATCAGTGGTCGACGCGCATTTTGTACCCACATTTCTTATGCATGTTGGTCACCATGGTCCTCGGCAGACTTCTCACAGCCACAGTCGACTTCGAAATCAAAGACAATAAGACTGAGGCAGCTGGACTGATTGTACGTCCTGTCCTAAGGAAAGATGATATGCACTCGAACTCCTGTGCGAACTCCCGGCTCGGTACCGATCTTGTTGATGAGGTTTAGGTGGATGTCAATTCGGTGTCCCTGCTGCGATCATTCTGGAACCCGAGTCTTCGTATTGTGAGTAGTCTAGTCTGATGGCATGATGTAAAAACACTTCTCGATCAAATGTGTTTTATTAGTACTAAAGCTGAGTTTCGTGACTTCCAGGGATTGTTTTCCTACATCCTAGCTGCGAGACTTCCTTCTACATAAAGACAGAGCCTGCCGGTTGCATCCAAGACTCGGAGCCATGGCCAAACGTCTCAAACCGATAGCTCATGCTGAGTAGATGGCGTTTCCACTTTATGCTCCGGCGGCTTAACAGCAGTGTTACTGCCGTCAAGCTCAGTCTTGTACTCGGTATAATCCCGCCCACCGAGCCCAGCTGCACAGACGTTACTACCCTTTGTTTTGCGGTGACGTCTTATCAACAAGCAAGCTAAGACAGACATCCCTATCAGACCGATAGGAGTGGTGACTCCAATTGCGATCTTAGATGTCGTGGAAAGTCTACCGTTTGAAGTGGAAGTAGAAGCAGACGACGTAGCGGTAGGTTCATTATCAGATTCGGTCACGGCAGAAGCGGAGCGAGTTGACGTGCTCGGAGTAGCTGTGGATATTAGAGTCTATCGCGACATGCCATAATTTACTAACCAGTTGTGAGTTCTGTGGTAGCAATGGTCTGCTGACCTGCACCACCAAGCTGGCAATACTCATGAAAGATGCTCGTTGCGCTAGACACCTCAGTACCCCAATGCGAGCACTCCTTTGCAACAGCGGTTGCAATGATCTGCGCAAAGCTCGAAGAGCTTCTCGTGCAAAAGCAGCTGTAGGAAGTTGTTCGACCTGCGTCGCCGCATCCAGAGACCATGTCCCTGACGATGCTGCTGATGGGCCCTTCGGCACAGTAGGGAAGAGAGTCATAGCTGTCAAGTTGATTGAGCCAGAATACTGCTTTGACTTGTGCAAAAAGAAGCAATGAGATGAAGGTGTAAAATCGCATATTGCTTGAATGAATGAAAAGGTTTAGGGAGGGGGACGATGGCGGGAGGTAAAACATGGAGGACTGGCAGAATGATAAAGAAAGACGGGACGACGGGACGGCCCAACGGTCATAAGCCCCACGGCGTCGCCGAGGCGATGTGAGCACAACTGCATGTATTGTAAGCTGTGGCTTTATACCGCATGTGACAGGCAAACAAACATCCCAAGTCCCCATGTTTTGAACTCGCGGGTATTTACAATACAGCGACCGGAAGAGCCGAATCAGCTCTCGATGGTAGCACTGCATAGAAGAACTTTTTGTATACTCAATCTACAGAAGAGCCGTTCATTCCGCTGGAGAAAAGGCATCCAGCCTAATATCTCAGAATAAGGCTGTCACTTTGACAGGTCTCCAGCTTGTCGATCAATAGCCCAACGAATCGACATACATACGCCATTCAGCCACCAGAAACAAAATCAAGGCTCACGTTGCACCGAATGTGATATTTACGAGAACAGTGCTGTCATTGTTCAACGGATATTGATCCGCGGATGCATCCTGACATGGTCCAATGCAGTAACTCGTGTCCCGGGCTGAAAGGATGGCATGCAAGCCTAGTCGACATGTCAACTGTCGGCTGCACCATTGAGAAATAAGTTATTTGAGTCATGATTTGTGTTTCCGGTCTATATCTATACCTCTAACTCTCATATCTATTCAAGCTTAAACTCAAACTTTCCAGTTGGCGGAGGGTTGGAAAGGGCCCACTTGATTCCATTCTCCATGACCTTATCCCATCTCTCACTCTCCGATAGCTGCTCTCCAAAACGTCGGAAACCATGAGGAAGACCGTTGAAAAGATGAACATCAGTAGGGACACTGCAACGTCAGTCAGCATAATCATTAGATAAGTGGTCAAGAGTTTCCTACCCTGCCTCAGCAAGCTTCTTGCCATATAGAAGACCCTCATCTCTGAAAGGGTCCAGACCAGATACACCAAGCGTCGTAGGCGGCAAACCCTTGACCTGCTCAGCGGATGCAAGTCCGATATTCAAGCGCACATCTTTGGGATCCGGTTTCGCAACTTTTAACAGCGAAGTGAACTTTTCGAGGGCTGCTTTGCCGAGAAGAGGCGCGTCTGCGTTCTGGACGTAAGATGACAAAGCTGGATCTTTGAGTTGTTCGAGGATGGGCGCGTAACATTCGGGATGGACTAGAGCAGGAATCATAAGGACCTGCCCCGCAAGCTTCGGTCGTTTGAGTCCGTCTGGAGAAAGATTCTGTTGTAGCGTAAGCGCTGCTGAGAGTTGAGCGCCGGCCGAGATACCGCCAATCAAGACTTGATCCGGGTTTCCAAGGAGGACGTCGATATGATCATGGACCCAGTGAAACGTATCCTCAACATCCTCCCAAGCAGTCGGATACGCAAAGTCGGGCGCATGGCGATAATTCAGATTGACAACTGTGACATTTGATCCAAGCGCGATGGCAGTGCAAATAGCATCTTCCGAAGGAATGTTTCCGAAGACGTAACCTCCGCCGTGGAGATGGATGTAAATCGGCAGACGGTCGTTGTCCTGCTTGGGTGGTCTATATGTTCTCACCTCAAGCGCAAATCCATCTCTTGCGGTGACAGTATAATCCTTCATATGAATCTCAGGGTTTCCCATTCTCTTCAGTTCGCTTTTAGCGAGGTTTTCGCGGTGCATGTTTGTTATATCTTGCATTTCCTTCAGGGAGAGGGAGGGGTCCATTGGTGGACGAGAGTCTGTTACTGCGAGCCATTCTGGCGTGGCGTTGCCGTATTGGGTGAAGTCCATAGTCGGTATTGATACTGGTGTGTTGGTGTTTCTGAAGAGTGTGGTGACTGATGTGAGAGGGTGAGTTCTGGGGTCGAGTTTATGAAGCTATCGTGATTGTTAGATTACCGGGAAGAAGTGCGAGGTTGTCGGTCATGAGATGTAGCGCCGCGGCTGGGAACCCCTCCGAGCTTGCCGAGGTCGGTGTATTTCCATCCCCGAGGATCCACTTCGACAGGTACAGCAGGAAAGAACAACTTCAACAACGAGCTCTTCTATAAATTTTATATGGTCTATAAATCCTCATCTCTCTCCAATAGATCCAATTTGGGAGATTTTGAGTGACTGACAGAGTGGTTGCATCTAGCCTTCTCGTAGAAGTCAAACACCATCATCAGTAACTCCATACGCGCACCAATCACAATCCCCTCTCAACCCCAAAGTCTAACGTCCACCACTACGTCACAGTAATTAATCATGATCACAAAAGTGCCGATATTTCTTCAACGTTACATACAAATCAAGGTCAACGGTTGCACTTTCCCCGCGATCTAGGCTCAACAAGATTAGGATCAGCAATTACTACCCAGCATTTAAACTTTACCCGCATAATAAAAAGACTTCATCTCGTCTCCGTGAACTTTGTGCTCGTCAACTCGTGAATATTTCAGCTGTTACTGTTAAAATGTATGCGCGGCAACTTCTCATCGGCGCTCTTGCGCTCGGCGTCGAAGCCAGCTGGAAGGATTATCAACCTCAGAATCGCACACCGAGTTCATGTCCCGACTATACCGATTATTCTCAAAAGCCTCATGAGCCGTATTCTTCGGGCGAGTTGAAGTTGCCGTTTATGAGGCCTAGTGAAGAATGCAGAACTTTCAAGAGCCCTGCAGTCGAGGTGCGACGATATTCAAATTACTGGGATGTTGAAGACTAATGTTGATGTAGAAAGTCATCGAGGACATGAAGAAGCGCATCAAAAATCCTGATCTTGCGCGTCTTTTTGAGAATACTTTTCCTTCGACGCTTGATACTACGGTCAAGTACTTTGATGTTGATGAGAATTTGGCTTTCATCGTTACTGGTGATATCACGGCTCAATGGCTTCGTGATACAGGAAACCAGTTTGCTCATTTATACAAGCTTCTTCCTCAAGATGAGAATCTGAAGGATCTCGTCAAGGCTATCATCAACACTGAGGCAAGATATATCTCTGAGTATCCTTACTGCGGGGCTTTCCAACCTCCACCGGAGAGTGGCTTGAGTCCCTCTGTGAACGACTATGCCGAGCTCGTTGTCGTCAACCCGTAAGTTTAATCTGGCGGCAGACCTTTGAACATGCTGGCTAATCTTGAATCTTCTAGACCTGTCGACAACCAGACGGTTTTCGAGTGCAAGGTAAGTAGACCAGTGTCACAGACCTGATTTTCTCGCTAACAGCCCTGTAGTATGAACTCGACTCCCTCGCAGGCTTCCTAAAAATCGCACGATCCTACTACAACAACACCAAAGACGCTTCCTTCATCAACGACAACTGTAAGCTCTCCCATCCTCCACAAAACTTCACTGACCACCAGCAGTTAAGTCCGCCATGACGCAAATCCTTCGCGTTATCGACGAACAATCCCAAAGTACCTGGGCCGAAGACTGGTCTTACGTGAGCTACTACAACTGGACAGGTGAAGCAGGTTCACTTTCTCCACCCGTTCCCAACAGCGGCAACGGTAAACCAAAACTCGCCAACGGTCTAGTAGCATGCAGTCATCGTCCGTCCGATGATCTTTGCGTTTTCAACTACATCACCTCCGATAACGCGATGATGTCTGTTGAGTTGGACAATGTAGCTGATCTACTCGATATGGAGGACACTCAGAAGAATCTTTCGACTACGTTGCGCAGTCATGCAAAGACTATTCGTAACGCTGTCTGGAACCACACCCTCACTTCAAACGGCGTTTTCGCATACGAGACAAATGGGTACGGAGGACAATACATAATGGATGACGCCAACGTCCCCAGCCTCGTGTCCCTTCCCTACCTCGGTTTCCTCGACCGCTCAGATCCAGTCTACCAAAAGACCAAGAAACTCCTCTTCTCCCGCGCAAACCCTTACTACGCAGTCGGCGAAACATTCCGCGGTATCGGCGGTCCTCACGCAAACGCGACCAACCCATGGCCCATGGCACACGTCTCGGCTATCTACGGCACCGACGATGATGACGAGATTGCTGAGCGGTTGAATATCATTCTGGAGAATACTTCTGGTTTGGGATTGATTCATGAGAGTGTTAATATCTATAACTCGACGGTTTTCACTAGGCCTTGGTTTGCTTGGGCGAATAGTTATTTTGCAGAGATGATGCTTGATTTGGCGGAGAGGAAGCCTGGGTTGATTTTTGAGAGTGATGAGCCGTATGTTGTTGGCGAGTGAAAACGGTAACTTCATTTGGTTAATGAAACATCAGATATTCAAGTTCCTGTAACAAACAATAATATTGTTTCTCCTTCACAAGAGATAAAACATTTCCATTGATGAGGCACGTGAGCTATCGCGTTTATATTTTTAAGGTATGAGCGCGTCAAAGACGCGTCGGATATTTGTGGATACCTTCACTTCGCGGTGTCTACAGGGTAGCACGCCCTCAACAGACCAATACAATTAATTCATCGTCTATGGTTTCTGAGACAGAATCATCCTCTAAAGCTTGGGCTATGATAATGAAATAGCCTCAGGGATAGTTTAAAGTAACAAAAGGTAAGTCTAGAGCCCTGGATTGGAAGAACTTAAATCACATATCGTTATCAATGTTCAACGGCCGCCATAGTTCGCCCATCATTCCCTCTACTTCAGTTTGCTGCAAACACCAAGATTCGGTGTTGTTGTCCGGCTACCTTGCTGTTAACAATCTGTAATTCAGTTTCTATCGTTGCCTGGTCAGCCGCTGTAGTATCGGTCTGCCTACGGCGAAGACACCTCGTAGTCTTTACCACACTCTATTTTTTTTCCTCTTGTTTATCTACCATTAGTCTCTATTCTATCTGTAGATCTAGGCTTAGTCCCGATCTTCATTCCATCACCGACTCCTCGCCGTCTCTCCGGATGTCTCTCGACTCAGCTGTTGAAGCCGCACTTGCGGAATTTCTCTATGACCCAAATATCGACTTCCTAGGCCAGCTCCAGGGCGAAGTGCCGTGCATCGGCTGTGTGCTCGCGCTCAATCGCGACCATCGTCTTGTCTGCATCGTAGACAAGAACCCACAGCTGTGCATCCACTGCAAGTCTTCAAGCAATAAGTGTCCCGCCGTATGTTTACCGTCCCTTTGTCGATTCATTGCTAACAATCTAGATCCCACCTGTTCTTTTGGGAGTTGCGCAAACGTTTTAGAATGGCGTTTCCGACACCATCAACGACGGCGACCATCTCTCAGATCTTGAGAAATTCCGTGTTGTTCATCATATCGACGAGATCGCTAGCGCTTTCCGCTCTCTCGCTGAGACGGTCGACAACCCCCTTGCATCATGCCAGGTAGCCCTTTTGGGCCTACACCAACCTTACATATGCAAGGGATGGCAGTCAGCCGTGCTCTGCAGGTAGCTCACCTCCGAATTGCCGTAAGTCCTTTGCCCCTCCTTTAGCTTCCACTTGTACTGATCACATTTCTTTTTCTTAGAATAATGGACCTATAGATTCGGCAACGCTTGAGCGCATGATCGCTGATGCAGCCCCCTCTTATGCCAAGAAGTCTGTTGAGGCAGAGACTCTTGCCCGGCTCCTTAAGGGCTTGGAAACTGCCGACCTGACTCCCGTCGCCAGGGAGGATCCTCGCAAGACAGGCGACTGGCGAACTGAGCTTGAGACACAATCGAGACCATTGATCCCCTTCAGACCGCCCGTCGTTCGGCACCCAACGTGATTCCCCGGTTCCCGGGACAGGGTCCCATTCGTCATGGGGCTTCTTAGAGTGATCCCTGAATTTCCTTCTGGCGTCCAGCGAGTGAAGACCCTCCGGCCTCCCTTCTGCTGTAGTGATTCTGCTTTTGGGGTAGATAGTAATGATACGAAACGACGATAGGTCAGCGCTACTTCGGCGGCTCAATTGATAATATTAGCCTATTTTGCTCTGCTATTTTCTTGTGACGTTCTGATTTTGTTGGGTTAGTGAGCTTTAGGAGAAGGGTTGACGTGATCATTCTGGCTTTGAGTGTTGTCATGGCGTCTCCGTCTCTGGAGATGGTTGTGATGGACGACCATAGCCTCAGGCTGTTAATAATTGGCTGGCAACTATGAGCTTAAGAGACAAAATAATTCGGTCATTTTCGTCGAGAGTAGACTACCATTTAGGCCACTTTGTTTTGATAACCGAAGCTTTAGATGACACTTCTGCTGTTTGCCCCATGCCTCCCTCGCTACGTCAGGCTGTCAAGCCATCAATAAATGGCGCCAAACTATTGAAACGACGATAAAGATAAACATGGACGATCGCAATGTCATCTCAAGACATCATGCATGTCTCGTATGCACACCATCCCACGATCGATAAACCGATCAGCAGTTCATCTGGACCTTACCCGGAAAAATGCCGCCACCGAGCTGAGAATATGGCAGGGAGTAGCTCACATATCACAATATTCTGGGCAGGGGTTCATTGGTATGTTCTAGGTTCCTGCATCGAAACGGACATTTGTTCTGGACTGTGTATAGTGTCATGCGATATGGTTAATTGACTGATTTAAGTTGCTTGGCCGCCACTGATCTGTTACAGTGAATACTACCTGCTGTAATTGACAAATAAATGCGGAGGCGAGTCACAGAATCGATTCAATCTTGACGACATGAATCGGTTCATCGATCGCAAAATCAACCGCATGCATCGGGTCCTATTGAGAAAAAGCCTCGTTCCAAGAGGTCGGAAACCCGTTACTTGATGTGGTGCACAATAAAGCCACATCCGCAAGCCGAGGCAAACCAACCAACAGACCAACCAAAGATTCATCCCTACCCTTGTGTCTGTTTGAAGGATTGATTGACCTGAAGGCAGGGAAATAAAAACGCCACACCTGCATGAGAGACCGCGTACAATGCTCCCGTAGGATCAGTAAAGCGGAAATTTCTTACGGCAAACGGATGATTTTCCTAGGCGAAATAACCAACAAGGAAGGTCTTTAGTCAACGTTACGTTGGATCGATCTCCCTCGGTTCAAAGACCCATGTGGAATAACGCAAAACTCTGTTGAAGAAGATATTTATGGAGTCCTGCAGGGGGGGATGTAAGGGAAGGGAAGAGAATGCCTGCATGTGAATATCTGCAGCAGGGGTGAAAGGACTAGGATGGAAGGTGGTGTGAGCTTGTCTTTTCAGCGTCTCGGAAGCGGGAGGCAATTGAGCCGGGCCGTGTCACAAGACGGGTGGATTGCCCTGAGCGTCAACTAAGAATTAGTGGGATAAATAATGCCGACTACAGTACATACAATGATTGTGATCAGCGACAAGTTGTTTGAGAGCCAAACTCTATCAACAAGCAAACACTCAGCTTTTGCAATTCAAGAAAATGACTGGATGGAATTGTCCTGATTGCTCACAGATGGTTTCACTTCGCCTGAAGAGTGCATGAAGTCGCACAACATGACCAACAAACCTTATTGGTGCTTTGACGAGGACCCTTGCCCTGTACCTCATTACAAGTCACTTCACTGCTTCCTTCTCATTAAATCATGCTCTCACTTAAGAGCACCATCGCCAGCCAGTGAATTAATTACCAAATTCCTTGGTCTCCGTTTCAAATTCCTCACTTACTGCTTTTGGGTCTGAATAACCGTGGCCGTTTCGGGTCCAGTCTGGAATCCTTTCTGCTTTGACGTCGGTGGTACGTTGGCCTAGACCGAGACACTTATGTCTCTGCCTCACACCATACCATGATGTAGCATGTCAGCTTCCGACCTTCCGAGTTAGCTTGTAAATGTAATGCCGTGCTGTGTACCTGTGCCTTAGTTGAATCTCAGGCACCTTCAGCTATAGCTGCACTGCACCTCAACCTGGCCGCCACACGTATTTTATATCGTCACCGTCCGTGATCTGTTTCCCCCCCTCCATTCAGAATTTCCACTCGTTTTCTTCATTTGTTTGTCTGTCTCGACCATCACCCGCGGCGACACGCTGCTCAAGATGAGTTCCTCTCAAAGAGTCATCACAGACAGCAACAAGTCGCCCCTCATTCAAGTTTTGTCGTTGATGTTTCTCGTCATTGCCATTCTTGCGTGCCTTGTTAGAACCGGCACCAAGCTTCACATGATCAAGACGGTGAGATCTGACGATGTTCTCATTATTGTCGCAACCGTAAGACATTCAGATCCAAATCGCGCAGGAATTGTGTTAATATCGGGCATAGCTTCTTGCGGCCTGTCAGACAGCCACTGTCTTTAATGCGTGCGAGCGCGGACTTGGGCAGCATTTTGAGACGCTCAGTGATGATGACCAGGTGGTCTTCTTCAAGGTAAATATTTGAGAGATGCCCAGTGATGACAGGCAATTAACAGGAACAGAGCCAATATGCGACAAATACCATGCTCATCGCTTCATTACTCTGCTGCAAATTGTCGGGCACAATGAGTCTTGGCATCATGGCGCAAAAGAGTCAAAAATGGATCATAACCGCCTGTGAAGCCATCGTCGGAATCTGGGGTCTCACAGCCCTTGCCGTCAATTTCTTCCAATGTCAACCACCCGAGCCATGGATGTACGGCGGCAACGACAAGTGCATCAACCTCGTCGCATTTTGGACATATTACTCGACAGCAAACATTATCACAGACCTTGTCATTGTGGTCATCATGGCAGAAAACGTACTCAAGATCCAAACATCTTGGTCGAAAAAGATTCTGGTGATGAGTGTTTTCGGCAGCCGAATTTTGTAAGTGCTACGTGGAGTTGAATTGATCGACGAGGTATTAACCACAATAATAAAGTGTAACGCCCGCCATCGCTGCACAGATCCACTACTCCAACCAGGCCTTTGCTTCCGACGATCACTCGTTCGCGATCTGGCCAGCCGCCGTCTCGATCCAACTGGTACAATGCCTCGCGATTCTTACCGTGTGCTTGCCCAACTTTAAGCCCTTCCTCGACAGCTTGGAGTCAGGTCAGATTCGCGTTGATGACTTGCGACGACAGGGCAAGTCAAGCAGCGGCGGATACCCAAGTAACCGACCAGATTATGCTGTGGGAAACAGCCGCAAGACAGATCGCTCACGGTCTCGCGCGCGGACGAGAACGCAGCATAGCGAGATTCACGAGATGGAGGATTTTAATGCACGAGGCAAACAAAATGACAGGAGCTGGGATGGGCAAAGTCAGTCGAGCCACTCAAGTCAGAAGATTCTGATCCATCAGACGTGGCAGGTAGACGTAGAGAGTACGCATGAGGGAGGGGCTAGACAAACATGAGCGTCACATATCATTTTAGAGATTTCATTGGATGAAACAGCGTAGCTTTATTCATGTACCAAAACAGAGTTGTAAAAAGGATGTTTGCTTCTATAAAGTAGACCATGAAGAGTAAGAGAGCTTAAAATAAATTACTGTACATGATGACAAGGGAGACGAAAAAAAGAAGGAAAAAAAAAGGGACTGGACATGCATGAATTTTCTCTGACCAACATGAGAAAAGAGAGAAATACGACATGCCATGCATGCAAGGGTCCAGACTTGACGGTAAGACAAATTGAGAAGGTCGACCAAAATACACGTAAGAGAAAGATGCTGATCAGGTCCGAGACCTACCGAAAAGCTGGAAAGAGGCAAGTACGCCGAAATAGCTGATTCTGTTATGCTGCTGAAGATCTGGTGGCTCGAGAGTTCTCCATCCGTCTCTGGACTGTTGTTCCCGAGCGTTCCCTTCCTTACACCCCCCTGTACCTAGGGATACCATGTTATGGAGGCTTGGCTGTTGGTAGGAGACTTTTTTCAGGGTGGTGTGGCGTCTGTGCCGCTTGTTTGCGTGTCTAATGCCGGACTGGGCTTATGAATAGAACTTGAAAAATGATGCGATGATCTACGAGATTGAGTTTACCGGGTGTATTGCTCCAAGACGCCTATTGCTTTTGCGAGATGTTTTGAGGGTTGTTTCAAGGCAAGAAAAAAAGAAAGAAAAAGGGCAATCAGTTTGAGGTCGTTCGTTGGGATGTTATATCCCTGTACTTAACCTGCAGGGGGCCCTTGCGCCAGAATGGACAGGGGTGTCGGGGGATTCTGCCGGATCAGCAAATGTATGGACTCTAACCGAAGAGAAGCGATGTTACAGCAAAACATGAATAAAAGTGCTTTATTACCGTAATCGCATCTGTACTGTATCAGCCTCGGTTGGTGGCGTGCAAACACACAGATCCATACCACACCCTAAGCTATCCAGGGGTCTTACTCTTCCTATTCCTATAGCCTACTCCGTGTACCTTTTAACTTTGTTCCTTCCTCCCTTCTTTTTCTTTTCCTCCTCAGTAAATCCTTCTCTCTCCTTCCTTTTTGCCCCGTTTTAATCCCGAGTGTTACTCTCAGACAAGATGGACGATCGCACTTCAAGTCCCAGCTTCGAAATGGGCAATAATGCCAGTGTCAAGGCTGACAAGGACCTCAAGGTCACGACTGTCGCGGAACCAGATTCGGGACGAAGCTCGACTACTAATTATCATGATAAGGATCAATTGGAGCGGATGGGAAAGAAGCAGGTTCTTCGAGTATGTCTCCCCCCTTCCCATTGACTGGTGAGGTACTGACGGTTTGCAGCGCAACTTTGGATTCCTTTCTATTCTTGGCTTCTCTTGCACCATCCTCATCACCTGGGAAGCCATCCTAGTTCTCTTCGCCCAAGGTCTCAACAATGGTGGCACAGCTGGTATTATCTACAGTTTCATCGTTGTTTGGATTGGTAACTTCTCTGTTTTTGCGACCATGTGTGAATTGGTGTCAATGGCGCCTACCTCTGGAGGTCAATATCACTGGTACGTCTCACCTTATCCTCACAATCACAGTCTAATAATGTCGGCAGGGTCGCTATGATGGCGCCGCGCTCATGCTCTAAGTTCCTCAGCCATCTAACAGGCATGCTCACCGTCGGCGGCTGGCAAGGCTCCGTCTCATCCAGCGCTTTACTCACAGGCAACATGATCCTGGGAATGGCGACGATGAACAATGAGTCTTTCCAACCGGAGCTTTGGATGGGAACTCTCCTCTTCTGGGCGATTTTCCTGTTTGCTGTGTTCATCAACACACTCGTCAGCTCGGTGTTGCCCAAGTTTGAAGGTCTCATTTTGATCCTTCACATTCTTGGTTTCTTTGCTATTCTCATCCCGCTTGTCACGCTTGGACCTCATGCTAGTGCTGCGGATGTCTTCGGTACTTTCGTCAATAATGGTGGTTGGTCTTCTAATGGTGTGTCGTTTATGGTTGGTATGATGGGTAATGCGTTTGCTTTCGTTGGCACTGATGCTGCTTTCCACGTAAGTCTCCTTCTCATATCGCTGATTGGCATTACTGACAATATTCAGATGTCCGAGGAGACGGTCAACCCATCCGTCGTTGTTCCCACTTCTATCCTCCTCAGTCTCTGCATCAACGGCACCTGCGGTTTCGCCATGGTCATCGCCATGGTCTTCTGTATGGGCAACGTCGACGACGCATTCGCCTCAGGCCCAGGCATGCTCGGCTTCCCTCACATGTACATCTTCGAACAAGCGACCAACTCCCGCGCCGGCGCAACCGTCATGTCTGCCATTATCGTCATCCTCGCTAGTTGCGCGACTGTCGGTATGCTGGCCTCGACATCACGTGTCTTCTGGTCTTTTGCTCGTGACCGTGGTCTTCCTGGTTGGAGAACGCTTTCAAAGGTCAGCGAGAGGACTACCGTTCCTGTGTACTCTGTTCTTTGCACGGCTGCTATTTCGATCTTGTTGTCGCTCATCAACATTGGATCGCCTGTTGCGTTCCAGAACGTTACTTCATTGTCCATCTCTTGTCTTTACTCGTCTTATCTCATCGCCGCTGGACTGCTTCTATACCGTCGAACTACCAAGGGCTTCGCTCTGCCTACCACTGGTACCACCGACCTGCCCGCCCTCGCCAACACTACCGGCGCCGAACTTGTCTGGGGACCTTTCCACCTCAAGGGTGCTCTTGGTATCGCGAACAACGTGTTTGCCATGTGCTACCTCATTGTTGTCGGATTCTTCAGCTTCTGGCCTCCCATGGTGGATCCTACTGTTGACATGATGAACTACAGCGTTGTTGTCACGGGTGGTCTTGTCATTTTCAGTGTTATTTACTACTTTGTCTGGGCCAGGAAGGAGTACAATGGTCCTATCGTTGAGAACTAGTTTATGTGGGGTAAAAGTTTAACTTCTTTTTGGCGCTGTTAGTTATTGGGGAAAAGATTGATCGAGAGTACGGGAATCTTTCCAAGATATATAAATAAAATGCTAGCTTAATATCATTATACCAAAGACCTCTTTTCGGCCTACTTGTACTTTCTCTGTCTCATGTACCACTCCATGTACTCATTATCAGGCGTGTACCGAGTCTGAACAGGCTGTAGACCAATCATCCATCCAACCCAAGATGCGATCCACAGAACAAAGTGCGACACAGTGATGTCGATGTCTTTCAGCCGAGCCCTCATACGCTCATTTGAAACGGATAAGAGCTTTTGTACATTGAGAAACACCGGCACGTTATCCAAATACCGAAAGATGACAAACAGATTCAACGGAATCCATAGATCCAAAAACAACCCTTGAAGTCTCGAAGGCAACCTCGCAAGCCATGCATTAGCCAACATCTTCGGTGCATCCAGAATAACACCATTCAAATTCCAAAAGAAGACGGCTTTATCGCCATCCTCTGGATCTGTTCGCTCAACAACTTCCACATCGTCACCGTCCAAGCTCGCTCGTCCCCATTCATGCCATGTATACGGCGGCACCTCAACCTCGGCACTCTCACCCTCTTTCACAGTCAAGATATCTCGTTTGTCATTCAGTTGAACCCAAATAGATCCTTTGGTGAGGCAGAGATACTCGGTGTGTGTTTCGTGCCAGTGGAGGCCACTTGTCCAGGTTGAGTTTGTCGGGAGGGTGATGTGTACTCGGCCCGGTGTTGAAAGGTTGTATGTTACGCCGTTTGGGAGAGGGCGGGTGATGATGTTAGGTATCTTCTTGTTACTCATTTTCATAGCTCTAATGAAGTTATATAAGGCGAAGTCTGATAGAGTTTGGGAACCCCTCATCTCGGTGATGGAAGCAATGACATAAGCTGTCAGACGGAGGATGAACCATGTGGCTGGCCGTTTTGGGATCATATTTCTTATCTTATCAAGTAACCTTGTTTGTCTTCTTCCCATAAATGAAGTCGCGAAAACCAGAACAATGCCGGCGCCGTACGTTTCTTTTAACTTCCCTGTTTTGTCCCCACCCTTCTCTGAGCTTCTCCAGGCACTTGGGAGCAGCCCAGTACTACTGGAACAACGTGTCTGCGTTGTGACTCTGGCGAACGGTACTCGCCGCTGAAGCGATGGTGAGCTATAAAGTGCTTGATTGACACTTTTTTAGCTGTCTCATGGAGCATCTGAAGAACCCCAACCGATCCTCCTGCACGAACCACATAAGGCTGAGGCCCACTGTGGGTACTGTAGCAGAAACTCGCTTGCTTGCTATTCATGAAGGCCATGTTCTGGGTAGTAGGCCCTTGGGAGGCGCCGGTTAAGAGATCGGACTTGATGGGACCGAGCAGCTGGAAAGATATTTGAATTTGATTCTCAACAGGGAAATAACAGGTCGTGTCGCTGAACGATGATACAATTGCTACAGCGATTCCTGAAGGCTCCTTTGTGATTGACGCCACTGGATATCCACGATGTTCTCGCAAACCCGGTGTTTCTGTTTTGCGCCATTCTTATGGACAGTCAAGATTGACGATCAATATCCAAATCGGGCGAATGGTTTAGTGGTATAATACTCCCTTAGCATAATTCACCTGAATAATCTGGGAGTGGTCCAGGGTTCGATTCCCTGTTCGTCCATCTTAGGCGGTTAGATTCCGCTGTTATACCTTCTTTTTGCAAAAGGTCATTAGAGTTGTGGTCGTTACGATCAAAAAATGTAAAATCACCGAGGCGTTAGATGTGCGTTTGAACCAACAATTGGGGTATTCATTTTAGTATCTTAGTTCTGGCGAATAACTTATTTGTCTTTTAGCCAGTAGACAACAGACGTGAGAGAAATAGTAAGTCTCAATTACCGAATCTAATAACTATCACAATTTTAAACCTGGCAAAACTCTAAACATATACAGCTTTACAACCCATGTAGGACAGACATCTAGTTACAGTTGACGTGCGATCCGTCCAAGACAGCACCAATCTCATCCAACTTTCTCTGCCAATCATCACTCTCGACCTTGATGTCCTTCAATTTGTCCTCATTCGGCCCCTCTGCATCAACAAAGACATTCTCACCCAGCGTCATCTCGGCTTCAAACAGCGCTGTACCCAGATTCTCCAACAGCCCTGGACCATCGGCAGTGGGTTCCTTAGGATCCTTGTAGATAGCCACCTTGAACTTCTTTCCTGGAGCAAAGAAGAAATCCTCGGAGAGATCGCTGTTTTGCTCGGAAAACGGCTGAACGGACGCCTCGGGAATTTCGACAAGACCAAGAATCAGACCTTGTGGGAGGAGAGAGGTGACGGGAGCAGGGAGAGCTGGATTGAAAGAAACGGAGCTAGCCGAGAGGGAAATGTTGGGAGACTTGACAAGAGTGTGGGTTACGTGAGCCTCATGGTCTGAACCGTAGAGGTAGAACGGCATGAATTTATCGGGATAGTCGATGTCGCGATGGATAGAGTTTAGTGGGCGACTCTTAACCAGAGATTTGAGTTTGACCACGCCCTTCTCCTTCTCGTACAGCCTGTTGGTTGTTAGTGGAGATCCAAACTGTGACCAAACAAGACGAACATACCCCAAGTCCTTTTCGAACATGAACACCGACATATTGCATCCGTCGGGAATACCATTGATGATGTCCTTCACATAGAGCTTCTTCTCAGACTCCACCATAATAATGGTATCGCGACTTTCCTCCAACCTCTTCTTGAAGAACTCCTTGAGGGTATCGTCAAGCTCAGCGGAAATGATGACCTGCTGTCGTCGAGTCACGCTGTGGAAGGAAGCTTGGAACACGAGATACACTTCAGGTGAGCCGGACGAGCCCTGCACAAGGAACTGGAGGTTCTTCTCACCGGGTTTGTTCCTCTTTCTGCAAACATCGACTTCATCTCGAATGACTTTCTCCAAGTCCTTCATTATAGTAGAAATGAAGTCCCTCTTAGTAGGGAAGGGACTCATAACAACGTTTCGAATGACGAACAGACTCTGGTCCGATTTATGAACCCCCATTCTCTCCATGAACTTATGCGCACAAGCACCATAGTCTTCAGGGAGGAATTGGGTCGACGTAAGATAGATCGGGATTGTAGAAGGATCCGTGTTAGGTGACGTGATAGAAAGTTTATCCACGACCCTCTTCATGAGATAATTCGCTTCTTCAAGATCCGTGTTCAAAACACCATTTTCATCCTTCCAATTGATGGCGAAACAATTGATGTTGGTGTCAGAACCCAGATCGCGGATGATCTTCATAGCTTCTTTGGATGCGAAGATCTCGGTATCCGTCTTGGTGACGATGAGATCACGGATCTTCTCACGCTGGTTCTTGACGGATGTGGAGAGGAACTTCTTGTTACCCTAGTTTTCGGCAGGGAGCATGTTGAAGGGAACGATCATGAAGGAGTCGTTTATCATGGTCGCATAGTGGGCTGAGAGCTGGAAATTATTAGTCCTGGAAGGGTAATACGGTGGGAAACGTACTCTTGCGCTGGTGAACGTTGCTTCACCAAGGAGTTTGCCATAGCCGCAATGGTTGAGACCGATGGTCTGGTTAGAGAACCATGCCGACATGGCCGATGCACCGGGCTTACTGCATGGAAGTCAGTTATTGATGCGTCCTTGGGGAACGGAAAGGTACTTGCCTGCCCTCGACGCCATAAACACCAATATTCTCGGCTGATCCCTGCGATAGATAGGGCCCAGACCAAGTAACGAGATGTCGCATCCTTCCATCACGATACACCAAGCTTCCAGCGGGGTAGGGGATGTAACCCGCTTTGTGGGGATCAACCGTGATAGAATCGGCCTCGGCCATAGCCTTGATATCTTCAACCGTCTTGGGATCAAGGTACCACTCTGGCTCGGGCTTTGCGCCAGACTGCTCCTCGACGCTGTAACGTCTGTCAGGGTTGACCATGGTAGCAAAGTAACCACCCCAAGCAGCGTCGGCATGGACCAGAAAAGACAAGCCGTATTCCTCTTGGAACATCTTGCGCAGACGGAGGATCTCGGTCAGCCTGTCAACGGCGCCTTCTTCGGTAGAACCAATGATGGCTACGACTGCGAAAACTGGGGTTCTTGATGTGACGCATTCGTGGAGGTGTTCTTCAAGGAGTTTGATGTCGATTTGGGCGGCGTTGTTTACGTCTACCCCGACGACGTTACCTGAGCCAAGGCCGGCAATTGCTTGCACTCGTCAGTATAGTGCCACGGTATAGGTATCCACACTTACCGACGCCCTTGGGCCACGAGTAATGTCGAGTCTTGCTGACAAAGTATTTGATAGGGTTGCTAATATTGAACTCCTTCTCGAGGAGCTCGCGTCCTATAGTCTGAATATTGTACTCATTCAGGGCACTCTCGAGAAATTTGCTCGTGATACCAAATTGCTTGTTCAGCTGATCGGGCAAGTCAAGGATGACCTCAGAGGGAAGGTTGACAAGATCCCATCCTTGAAGGTCTTTAAACTTGGTCTTGGCTGGCGCGTGGAAGCATGAAGATGCATAGAATCTGTCGCCAATGAACTGAAGCTTGCCTCTACGGATTGCCATACAAAGACTGAGAGGGTAGAACTTGAGGTTTCGGGCTGCACTAATGTCAGCATGGGATTGACAGTTGTGGGAGGAAATACTCACCGACCCAAATCGACTCCAAATTTGCAATAGTTCCATCGCAAGTGATGTGACCCCAAGAAAGAGGATTCTTCTGCGGATCAGTATTGTACCCAAACAGCTTGCAAAGCTGCTGTCCAACCCTCAGCTCCACTAGCGTCGTCATCGGACTTGCCTCAAGCGCGACATTGTTGGGGTTGTACAGCATGGTCATAAAGTACCCGAGCAGGGACGACATGGTCAAGTCAGTGCACATGTGCGCCTCGTAACGCGGGGACCAGAAGGGAGCCGAGTGCTCGCCTAGAAGCTGTGCGACCTTTTCGGTGGCTAGGCGGAGGTCGGAGCGCGCTTTCTGGAAGACCGGAGAGCGTCGGTATTCCTTGGATATGAAGGCCTGGGAAGGTCAGATTAAGGTCAGGGAAGGGAGAGAGGGACTTACTTGGTCTTCAGGATAATAGCTCTGACGGGCTACGAGGAGTTCATCGAGAATGGTGTTGATGTTGGCGCGGAAGTCAGGCAGGTTCGTGCCCTTGGGCCCGATGAAGTAGGCGTGGACCGCATCGAACTCGTCCTTGCGAAGATCCTTGTTGTCGCGCACTTCAGTCATGGTCGATGCGTGATTGTTGTAGTGAGTAAGATAGGTGGGTTCTCGCGATGTTTTGCTAACTTTTCGATGAGCCATTCATCCAGGAAGGCGCACTGGGGGTCCGGCTGGAGGTTATATATCGACGTTGGCACCTGCCTTCTCCTTCCATGCCGAACAAGATCTGCCGACTCTAGTGACGTACGAGATATCTCCCTTCATTTCGTGCCCAGCGAGATCGCCATCTTGTACACACCTACAACACTTGTGGTGGAATGCTGTAGAACCAAGAATCGAAGTTGAGATGTGAGACAAACAACGGAATGATCTACCGGTACGGTCCGGGAGATGCAAGGGAGATTTGGGTAAGGGAGATTACAACTTGGTGAAACATTTGAGGTCATATTCGTAACTTGACGAATAATCTCAATCAACTCTGCTGTCAATCAAGAGGAAGGAAATGGATATTCAATATTAGGCAGCCACAAGGCAATATTCAGCGGCCCGTGTCTCAGGTCAGCCAACCGGAGGAATCTGTCAAATGTGGCTGCCTGTTTTGCATCGAACTTCAGGGAGAATTGCGTAAGAGAAAGAGACTGAGGCCTGGAATATCGTCATTCAAATGCATATTGGCCATGAAAGGAAAGACTGAGTATGGGTGCCGACGTGATTTGGGCAAGATGACATAGCAATAGCTCCTTCCACTGTCTGTTGAGTCAATGGACTTCTCGACTTTTGGCGAAAATATCATTCAACTGAACTTCAGAGCCATCTTGTACGCTCAACAGAGCGATTGTTGTTCTTGACCATCTGTTTTACGTTACCTTTCAAACCGGTAATTCGCTCGTCTCCATTTCTAAGCTGCGAAGGCCGTTTGGAGTTAATGGAGGTATACGACGGTTGACAGTCTTGCTGCATCAAGGTACCCAGATTAAATTACTCAATGAATGCGTTTTCACATAAAGAATATCTTCTCTAATAGATCATCCGATTTCAATGTAGAACATCTAAAGGAGCTTAACTTCAATTAGGTAGCCTGAAGTGACGTTGTGAAAAGCTTACCCTGCATAATATTGGCAAGACTTATCAGCGTGCCGAATTGAGCCTGATAAGGCTCACAGGGTCTTTTATCACCACGTGATTGAGCCAAGAAACTTCTCCCAACTTACAAGGTACTTGGAAAGCACCTAGCGTCAAATTGGCCAGACATCCCTGTCGCTATCGCTCGCGTTCGACTGGGCTTGTAATCAACAGGAACAGAATTCATTGAAGCACTGGAGACGAAGCAAAGCTTGAAGCTTCTACTTGTGGCGGCGGTCTGAGGTAATCAGTCTGATAATCACACTACTGGTTTATCAACTGCTCAATCGAGACTTTCAGCTCTTGGGTTCCAACCTCTAGCGCTGGACTTTCTATAGTCGGTGGTTGATCACTCCTGCATGTCTTAGTATACCGGCCTATAGGAAAGTCAATCAAGAGACAGCAAGCAATCTTATGCCGTTATTGTCCAAAACCGACTAGAATTTGAGGATCCTGACAACGCTAGCAATACTAAATCAAGGCAGCGGTGGTTTAATTATACGTGCGCATGGAGCATAGAGTTCCATCAGCAAAACAGAGGACAAGCTGTGTCTACTGCAAGAGAAATGATTTGTTGACAACTGGAAATTACCAACCTTCGTATACATCTTTGATGGCATGATAACAGCCTCTGGATCAATATGACGTATGCAAACTCAAGGTTTTAGCTGACAGCAAGCCATCTGCTCTCCCATTTTCAACCAGTCGCTTCAGTCTTAATACATAGTATCCAGATATAAAAACAACTTCCACTTCCACTTAATATCTTCTTTAATTCTACCCAATTTCATATTCAACTCGATTGAACCAAATACCAACACCCTACTGCACTCATCTTCCCTTCACTATCCACATCACCATGCCGGAGGCACCAGGAACCGCCATTCAAAAGACTCACAACGAGTTCACGCTCATGTTCGTAGTTGACGACCAACCGGTCAGCTTCACGGGACGACTGTCCCCCTCTATACAACCTTTCAGCACAAGAGTGGCTACCCTGACATACAATGATCTCGATGATCTGAAGTCTACCCGTTCGTTCAACGGGAAAATTGGACCCATGACCTTCGAGCTGAACTTCGACAACGGCACTTCAGCCAAAGGGGACCTCCACGCACCTGGTGTACAGTCTGCTGAGATGGTCAGTGGTTCTGGTCAGTGGCAGCAGATGTAGACCCAAAAAGCTTCATCAGTTTCTGCATAACTATGACCTGCGCGTTGGAGATGGGTTATACCTGGTTGAGAATTAGCCCCTTCTATTAAAGTGGGAAAGAGACCGTTTGCCCAATGTCAATATGGTTCGGACCAAGATATACTTTTGGCTAGCAGGGGCCCATACTAGCCACCTGTTTCGCCAAGCAAGTACCAATAGACAAGCACATGAAGGGTGGTAAATACCCCTTCACCTATGAGATACGTTGCGCACATCCATCTTGCAGTAGTCCACGCGGACCCAGCGGTTTGTAGCATGCCGACAATGAATATTGTCAATAACGCGATGAGAAGTCCAGCACTAATCCAAAACGACCGGAACCAGCGAAGTGCCTTGAACCACGTTCCCTTCTTCCCTCCAAACTTCCACTTCTTCCCATGATAAAGGTAGGTATACAGAAGCCAAGAAGGTCAGAGTTTTGATTGACTTCGCTTCCTGAATAGCATGGCGCTTTGTCAAATAATCAAGCTGACAGTTGAGAGCATCCAAGGCTCGTTGGGCATTATTGGCGCGCTCATCGCACAGCTCTTTGATCTCCCGTATCCGTCGCTGCAGGGATTCCGGAATAGCCCGCTTCCTCTCCGTCTTGTCATCATACTCAAGGCACTTAAGAATAAGAAAGATAGAATCCTTAATATTGGCAAGATTTCTCCAGATTCCTTCAGCATCTTCAATTCCTTTGAAAGCTTCTTTGCTTGGAGTAGACAGGCGCGGCTCGAACAGACCGAGTGGGACTTGGAGGTGTGGATTGCTGTGGATTGCAATCTGCAGTAGTGCTTTTTCTTTTTTATCCATCGTGCAGTCGTTCCGATGACTCACGATAGCCTTGGTTCGGACCTTGTTAAGGATAAGGTTCATCAGGAAAGATAACTGTCGAATGACAGTTCGTATGATCAAAAGTGTTGTTTTATTAAGTACGCATTGCGGGCATCTTTATCACGAGATGTGTCATAAGCAAACCCCGAGTAGTAGTGCTTTTTCAGGCATCTCAGGGTAGATTAGAGCCTCGAAAAAGTCCGCTGGCTGTAGATAGATGGATGCAAGAAAGAAGTCCAATACAAGAAGCCGGGCAAACTTATCAATTGATCCATTTGCTAGGATGTACACCTTGTTTAGTCGATCATGGCTGCTATGTTCGTGGATTCCTAAATATGCTGCTCCTACTATTTGACTTTGTTGTACTGAAAGCCTGGCGAGCCCAGATGTCATGTACAATGACAACTAAGGGTAGACTGTCAGTATCGCCATCACGTCACACTGTTATGCGTACCGATTAATTTGCTATCGCCATCCTTCGCACAAGTCATGTAAGAGTCTCGAGGCTGGACATCAAAGTCCAATGGATGCTGCTGGAGGCTCATCCGATTGACAACGCGATGCAATTGTTCATGCCCGCCAACATCCTGGCACCATTGCGACGAGATGCTCCCGATGTCGTTGACAAGTAGAGGATCATTGAGCCATCGAGATATGTGACGCTCCTCCAGGGGCCGCATGTACATGCTTTGTAAATAGCTCATCAAAGCATGTCTGGCTGGACGTGGTTTCTCTGGACCTTTGCTGTTCCGAATGCCAGTTATGACAAAATCATTATGAACAGTCACCTCGAAGACTCTGGCTGTTTCAAGAGGTTGAGGAGGGAGGTTGTTCAAGCGACCCTCAATATCATCGTTGGACCGAAAAGTCATAGAATCTTGGGGCTTTGAGCTATCAAATGGGGCATCAATCACCGTTAGGACCACATTGTTCTCATCAGAGAGTAAGCTTTTGCCGGATTCTAGGGCTCTTTGGCTGTTTGAAGCTAGAGAAGGAAGAGGCCCGACGTGGCTGTCGACAGAAGTTGAGATTGGCATCGTGAAGGGTGGACTGTCTCTAGATAGTCCAAGGATTTAATGGGGGTAGCAGGCTGAAGCCTCTTGTCGAGAATAAAACATGAGGGGAAAGAGTGTGGAAGACCTTGGCTCAAGTAAAAGAAATGCCTTACACATTTCACCGGTCGCTTCCACTTGCACCATCGCAAGTTCTGCTCAATCTCAATTGGCCATCGTGTAGAGCACCGCCCCCAAAAAGCTCTCGAACACTCGCATATAAGATGGTGTTACCAATCAGGCTACCAATCACGGCAAGGTAAGATGACACAGCGAACAGCATTCACTATCAATACGGAATGAAGAGGTGTTCAATGTAAGACAGTGGCTTGACAAGGGAAACTGAAATCTGAGCCAGCAGTAAGTCCAATATCGACTGCATTGAATCACAGTTGTTGCGACATGGAATCGAGGACAATGAGAAGAGGGAAGATGAAGGTCTGTTATATATGAATGATCGCTTACTATACGTACAGACACGGAACTCCGAACACATTTGGTTCTATCCAGTCAGCTTGCGATCTGTCGTCTTACTCCCGTGACATCGTGATATGCGTCATTGGATCCTTCAGAACTCCGACGGGAATGCCATTGAAGAATGATCAATGCCTTCATTTAATGTGACTAGAAGCCTGAATAGGATAGTATTAGAAGATGACACTACTTCAGATACCAATCGAGATACTGCATCTGATCCTCAAGGTATGTTCAAATCAATACAGGCGATCGTTCCTGGATGAGTGACTAAGTCTCGATAGAATGTCAGCACGAATGACCTGGTACAACTGCAGAAGACATGCCACGGACTCTACTCTGCAATCGCGTCAGAAACTATCAAGTCTGCCGTGTGCGAGATGTTGAGCTTGGGAGACAGCAAACGGTTCACACATAGAGCGGTACAGTCTTGCTCCCACTCCGTGCTCACAGCACTGCTCGACCATGGAGCTCCCGTCGACTTGCGAAATGCCCAAGGAGAGACGGCACTCCACTGGGCAGCACGAAAAGGTTGCGCTATTTGTGCCAAGGTCTTGATAGATGCCGGGTCTTCGTCAAGCATCTTGAGCTCCTCCGAGTGGACGCCTCTCATGTTGGCAGCTAGGTTGGGTTATCTTGACATAGTCGAGTTACTGCTAAGTGTAGAATCGGATCCGAACCTGAGAGGGTTCCACGGATGGACGGCTTTGCATCTTTCATGGAGGTTCAGTCATGATGAAGTACGGAGGGTGTTGGTCAAGGCTGGTGGTGACGAGAAGGTCTTGGATAACGATGGCCTTCGCCCAGGAGAGAATATGCTGAAGCACAAGAGTTGGGGCGTACTTTGATATCCAGAGTACATGAAAACGCAGATAGCAATAGCTGAACCTTTAGTATTGGATCTAGTCGATACTTGTTGTCTATTAGTCAATTGACTGCAGACTTGCGTTCATCATCATCACGTGCGTGTCTTGCAGCCACCATCTATGCACTCACATGAATCAGGCTCGGAAGCCAAGAATGCCTTGTCTGCCCACACAACAGGCACAGCCTGAATTACAATCACAACACGAGGCATTTTCCCCCAAGACAAGGCGTTTTTTGAGGCCGATCTCCACTTTACAATTGGGTCATGGGCGTTTGGGCATATCATGTGTAGCAGCCCATGAAGCTTAGACAAGATAGCCTGGTTTGAAGCGCATAATGAGGGGGCGCAGAGACGTCTGAAATGCGCCGTTGCGCAATAGTTGAGAGAAGATGAGCATATTTAAGGCCTCAATTGAATCACTTAATATTAAAGGGCCTCCCCGACCCCGAGGAGGCCTTCAAGAATTGTATAATGGATGCTACCTTCACCATTCTTTCTTGCCATCAAAGCTGCTGGCGATGTGTTGGAATGGGTGCCTCCTGCTGTCGGCATGTCTCAAGAAACGAGTCCCTTCCCCTGATCGCGTCGGATGTCCCGTCCCAGGGAATTGTCGCATTCTTCGGAGGGACGCACTCCTCTTGGGGCCTCTTGCCTTGCGCAGTGATGGGAAAGAGCAACCGGAGCTATGACCGAAACTCCGAGACAAAACAAGGCAGGCAGGTACCAACTAACATCTGTCTCAACCGCTCCTGCGCGCGTCTTCCCCTTCACCTTCCCTGCCAAGCTAAAATTAGCACCCCACTTGAGCCTCAGGCCAAACATTACCCCGAACAAGTGTCGCTGCCTCTTTAAGGCCACCATTCCCCTCATGCAACTTCAGTTCCTGCACCCTGGAGATGCCACCTTGCGGCCACTGCCAGCTGAAGCCCAAGGGCCATGCAGGACCCCACGAGTCATTGATGCCCAAGTCACCGGTCGGGTGCAGGGTGAGAAGAGCCTCAATTGCTGACAGACCTTGTAGTTTCCCTGCAAACTTCTGACGCCATATCCCTACCGGAAACCACAAGCAGGCCTGCAGAACATTGTCTCCTGCCTGTCACATCACTGAACATCCTGCATACTACGCAGGATAACAATTCCCTCCAGTGCGAGTTCATTTGATGCCAATTAATTGAGCTCAAGTGCACCGCCGAATCACGATGCTACTTTCAAGCCTGGCTGCCAACGCAGAGTCACGATTGAGTGGTCGGACGGCCGACATGATACGGAGTGCGAGAGGTGTTATAAATTCGCCGTGGATGTGGTACTTCCACCACCATTCGGTAATATTTGAACAACCCGCTGCCCGCTGAAAGTGTTGCCAGCCGCTCTGCACAGCCAACACGCAAGTCATCCTGCCCTCTATTGATTCTCTTACTCTGGAGACAGCTATCTACAATGCATTACGTTCAGCCGCCTCTGGCTCCAAATGAGCTTCGCGGAGCTCCGAGTCACGGCGACTGTTCCCATACTCCTGTGTCTGACACTCAATCTTCCTCAAGTGTCGGGCCATCTCTTGACATCCCCTCTCGACGGGAACCCTGCCGGTATGTCCTGACTCTCCACAGACATTAATTGATCCACCGCTAAATCTATCTAGTCTTGAAGCGCTATCAGCTTGCATCGACAGTTCCGCTCGTGCGAGGATCATTGCGGTTATGGCCCTAGACATCTTCGCCCGTGGCACCCCGCTCAATAGACATTTCGACAGATGGATATGTCCATTTTCCAATTGCAAACAAGGCTTTCCCGACCCTAGGGATATGATTCTTCATGCAGCTCAATGCATTCATGTATCTCCCAATGGCGCTTATTGTAACTGCTGCTGCGAGTATTACAACTTTCCTAGCAACAGCCGAGCCTATCGGATCAGCGCTGGCGAGAGCGTGTCACCCACTGCGAAGCCCTCCACTATGGCAAAGGGCAAGAAGAAGATCGCTGGTCTCATTTCCCGCTGCTCTGGATCGGCATCGTCATCTCGCAGCGAGCTATCCGCGGTCGGTCAGCGCTCAAGCAGCTGCACAACATCCAGCTGGGATTCAATGTCAGAGTCCCTGCCTACTTCCCGCAAGGGGTCTGTGGTCTCGTCTTTTGATTTTGCCGGACCATCAGCAGGTTCCCGCCCTGCGGATACACTGGCTGAGCTTGGTACCGATCCCCGTATTCCTGAACTCGAAAATTCTGTCGCTTTGTCGAACAGGTCCGCTCATCGGGCAGTTGCCAATGTTCATACGCAACAGCGCTCGGCCCAATCTTCAATCTCCACTTTGTCTGCAATCTCAACCGCTGGCTACATGGACTCTGTGAGTAGAGACTGTGGGGATCTCTGCATGTCGCCCACGGATTATTCTGTCCCAGAGCTCCCACAGAATAGCGATACACAGACCCACGAAGGTGGAGTTACATACGCTACCGGTCAAGTCGCACAACATCAGATGCAAGCCTCGTTTGCTCCAGCCCAAACTTCCTTCTGGGCTGCGAGCCCGCAACAGGCTGGTGCAACATGGGATTTTGACGACTCGGCTCCATCGTCACATGTGTATGCGCAGGGGCTCATAGTCGACGTACCAAACTTCTCACTTCCGCGACACAATCCTTCATCCGGAATTGGCGGTGATAATCGTTTCAGCATCTCCGAGTCCACCCATCAACCAGGTGTTGTTGCGAGCATCGAGCCCCAATCTCGCTATAGTTCCGGGGACTCATTCGACTTTTTCCCCTACCAGTCTTTAGGCAATGATCCACCCGGCGTGGGCTTAGCTGTAGACAGTATGGAGTCGATTGGTATGGCTAAAACCAACGTGGAAACAATATCCCCATCACTGAGAAGCTCAATGGCCTCTTCGAGATCTTCTGGTACTATGCAGAATGACGATGATATGCGCTGTCAGGAATCAGGATGCAAATACCAACCGAGCGGTGCAGAGGCGTACAGGAAGGCTAATCTGAATAAGCATATCAAGCATATGCATGGGGATAGACCCAGGTTTCCATGTGAACGATGCGGAGCATTTTTCACACGGAAAGATAATCTCATGGCTCACCAGGGAGGTGTTTGTGACAGAAGAAGGGCCCAGAGGCATTCAGCGTACCGGAAACGTAGGTCTAGTAGACGAAGAGCTGCGCGGCGAATCTTGACAAGCGCCTGAAACAAAAAAGATTGATAACATATTTTCTTACTATCTGCTAACAACTTCCATCAAGATGGATTATACACATATTTTGGACTATTTTAATTGCGATAACTTTAATAATAATTCTTCTTATACCATATCAAAGAGAAACGTGAAATGGGGTCAAATAACAGTCGCGTCAGGGTTCTATTACCAATGTCATATCGATTGGTTACAGTTCGACAGTCAATTGAACAAGTGAACCTTCGCGAAACACGCTCAAACAAAGCGGGGGATAGCCAAGTACCTGTTTCTTGAGGCTCTTGTCAGTTCGTGCCAAATTAGGCGTCCGATCGATGGAGGCTGAAAATAGAGCAAAGACAAGGGAGGGTTTGTTGCCTTTTGGACCAAACAGCGTTGCGATGTGACAAGCCTGCAGATGGAGAGGTGTCGATCACACTCCTGTCTGGTCAGTTGGTCAATATTCCTTTTACCACTTCAGGTTGGTATGGTGTGGATATGTCTCTGGTCAGTACGTATTGTCGTTTCCTGCAGGTTACTGCTTTGGGCTCCTGTATTCAGTGATATTGCATAAGTGATGTCTGTATGCAGTAACCCAGTTGACCCTACATGAGGGGATTCTGGGAAAGGGCCTTCAGGATTAAGCACTGGGGATTCTCCCAGGAACGTCAGGGAAGTATCGTGAGTTGGTCATAATGGCAGGATTGGATGAAGCTATGAAGAAGCCTGTTGCTCGACGACTATATAGAGTCACAATTTCTGATGCAAATGAATAAATTGAACTACAAGAACATCATCTATCACAGATTCATCCATTCATAAACTAGTGAAATTCAGCAAGTAATCATGGGCAACCCACTCTCAAATACTACAACTACAACGTAAGACGCATTTTTCCTACGAGGATGAACCATATCTAACTGCTGTTCAGCTCAAAGCCTCTCACGGCCGTGAGCTTGGCAAATGTTCCTCATGGACCTGGCATGTTGGACAAGTCTCTGGAGAAGAAGAACCATGAGATGGTGGCTCTTGGAATACCGGCTGTACGAAGGGAGATGAATGCGTTTTGCAAGGATTGGCAGAGGAGCTTCGATGGGGCTAAGAAGGAATGAATGAATTTGATTTGGCAATCAGTATGTGTTGAAGACAGAGATAGAAAGGAACAACAGAACAAGCATAATTCATTACAGAACACAGCTCCATGTATGTGATATGATGGTTTCAAGGTAGTGACGGATAATTTCGGACCGAGAAGAATGCCTACTGTGATTTCAGCAGACCGTTGGTGGCCTCCGGAAAAGCTCATTGGCGGGAGGCGGCCATCTCCAAGACCCATCCCCGCTTTTCCTGCCATGAGGTAACCGCCCAGGCATTGTCCAGGCAGTCATTCCTCGAGCGCTCTGCAAATCAGCACACCAAACTTTATCATTCTTTCATTCTTTCTTCTTTTTGCGATATCCAGAACCTTACACAGACCGCAATTATTCGACGAACGGGCGTGGCGCCGCCTCAAACATGAAGCCGCAAAGTATATTTCGCGCCCTCCTGCTTTTTGGAGTGTCTGCAGCAGCGCTGACAGGTACGCCATTGCTCCACTGATCCACGATACCCGAGCACTAACCTTGTCACAGACTCGACCCACGATGCTAGCGGATCTGACGACATCCAGCTCTACGATGGAGAAGTACCGACTATTCTGAAGAACTTTAGAGGATGGGTGAACCCAGAAGATTTGCCGCCGAAGCCGCAGTGTATCGCTCAGCAAAACGACGATGATTGGCTGCGTGCGATGACCCGCTGTACCAAACTTCGATGCACCAACAAATTCATCTTCTGCACGCACCGTCAATGGCTTACCGAACTCAGCTGCTTGCGTGCCGAGTTCCATCCATCCTTTATGGAGCGCTATAACGACCACTGCAGCCGATCAGTTCTCGCCAAGGCACAGCTCATGCATTGGATACAGGCCGTCGCGGGTCGAAGTTGGATCGTTGATATCGGTGATACCAACAAACTCCAGAATCTGTCGCCGAAAAGCTTGCTACGGGGCTACAAGACCACCGACGTCGCTGAAAAGGCACCGTACTGTATGAGAAAGTCAACCTCTCTACTTGTAGAGAAATTCGATCTCACTATGTTGGTTTGTACCTTCACCAGTACGACTATTTCCCAGGGCAACGCTGCTCGGCCTTGGGAGTACAGCCCACGATTGAAGTCCATGACGCCACTGAGCTGGGACACCGCCGGATACGATCTCACTCATGGCCATATTGCAGACGGAGTTTATTTCGACGTCGAGTGCTTTTGTCATCGATTCTCTGACCAGCAGCAACAAGGCGAACCCTGCTCGACCCAGCTTGACCTGACAAAAGAGCGATTATGGATACATGCTGTCTGTGGACCATCTGTATTGCCCAAGGACTGGGAGAAGTCGCTCAAAACCCTTGGCCAAGACTACATCCCCATGAAAAGATGGGAGCGATCCTCCGACATCACGAATATGCCAGAGAACGTCACAGCGCTATCCGAGGAATGCACAACAGATGCTTGCGATACAGACTCAGAAGGCTTTTGTCAGTTGGTACCTGTCATGGACAGAAGCTGCATGTGCAGTAGACTTGATTACGATCTCTGTCAAGGTGCTTGTCAAGACTTCGAGTCGAGAAAGCAATATGTCCAGTGGATCCATAAGCTCTGCGGCGGCGATCGAGGCTGGAATGGTTTACCTGACGACTGGCACCAATTACTCGAGCCTCGACCACGCGACATGATTCCATGGAGATGGACCCTCAAACCAGCTAGTACCAGTGACATCGCATGCCCATCTTACCCCATTATGATGGGCAGCCTTGCCCTCATCAACGTGGTGGCTGGTCTGGCTGTGTTCTTTGGTGAAAGATATACCCGAGGCTCCACCACTCTGGCACCGCCTCGGATGAGCCCACTCTTGGTCTTGAGAGCACTCGTACTTGCCAGCGTCCAGTTGGCCGGCTACTGGCTAATGGTTGAAATCATCCAGAGCACCCCTCGTTACAGCGACGTTCCCGAATTCCAGCTATTTCTTCTTTTCTGTTCTCTTCCTCGCTTGGGCTGGCTTGTTATAGCGCCAACAAGCATTCATCGGCCTGATTCGAAGGACCTCACAGCGGCTTCATCTGCGCTATGTGCCGAGGTCCTCCTGCAGATCCCGAACCTCTGCTACATGGCCATGACTGTCATCTATGGTCTCAAGCATGGCATCTATTTCGGTGTTCTACCAAGCACGGAAGTTGGATACTTCGCTTGGTTGATGTATGGCGGAGCATTGATGTGGCTGGTGGCCGTCGCTTTCATGGCTTTACCAATCTTTCACATCATCCGCACTATGTTCGACATTGGTCGCGAAGCTGACCGCGACCTGCCAAGGTTCGGCGTTAGCGGTTTTGCGACAACCTACAGGGATGCACGTGATTGTGACCCCTTGTTGCCCGAACAGCACCGGAACGCTCCGTCCAAGGTTGATTTCTACGGCGCGGTGCCCGGGAGAGCTGAGCAGATCCAGTCTGAGGAGGATCCCAGAGCTCCCCATTTGAAACTCTACGTGGTTTTGACCTTGGGGTTTCCCTTGATCTTCTTAGCGCAGTCCCTTTTCTGGATTGGATTCTTGAGAGTCAGCGGCGATGAGTAAGTCACATCTGGCAACGCATTGACGTACGATACTAATTAGTTGTAGTTTTTGTCCCCCTTCGACCGGCATGCTGACCGGTGTGGAATTGGTCTCATCTCTCATGGCGGTTGCTCTCAAATTTGTTCTGTAGGGTGCAGGGTCCATTCGGGTTTCACAAATGTCCTCGATCTTGCGGAGATCAATCTGGTTTATACAGTAGAGAGCACATTCTGGAACTAATTGAGACATCATGGTCGATATGTCTCTTCGGTACGGATTTGTAGATATTGTTGGGGGATCTGTTATCATGAAATCTAGGTAGACCGATAATCTCGAAACGAACCTTTCTCAAGATCAGACAACCTTTTCGAAGAGCTATACACAAGGGCATTTTATGCCTTTGCCCACACATGACCACCTTTTTGCCCTGCTGCATACATAAGGTTTGGGGACTCCTCTATCAATCTTATGACAAGTCTCGATTCTATACAAGTTCTCATCATTAGGCAAGCTTGACCGACCGCCCTCCAAGTCATCAAAACATAAGAAGACGTATTTAAACCTGTTTCCAAGTTATGTCATGGAGGATCCGATTCCCCAACAGAAGATGCGGGCGCATCCCACCCAGACTCGTTCTCACCCCCTGCGTCTCCCCAAACGTCAAGAACTCGTGCTTGACCTCAAACGTCCCATTCCCTTCGTTGACAACTTGCTTCCATGCATTTTGGACACGTCCCGATAGCTTTAGAGGCCCCCAATTGTCCTTCAAGGTAATGCAGCTACTATACTCCCCTAGCCTCTCGTATGTGAATACTCGAGCCTCAAGAGGCCTCTGGTTCTTGAAACACCAGATTTCAAAAGTTTCAAGTTTCGGCATTCTCTTGGCGACAGTCGCTGCACCAATTAACAGAGGCACATTTACCACTCCGTCCACATGGTACAACAAACTGTCTGAGGTTATAGCAAGTGTTTTTAAAGCCGTGAACTCGTAGTTGGCATTGGGATTCAAGAGTTTACTCCCGCTGAACGAGATGGCGATGTGTTCGATGCGGTCCGCTACTTTGGTCAAGGGACTTATGAACAGGGGGTCGAGTCGATGCAATTCTTCGCCGCCGCGATGCTCGTAGTTGTCTGCACACTCTTTGTAGTATATGAGTTCCTTCAATGATTCAGGCAGAGCGAGACCCATTCCATCGAAGTCTAAAGAAACTTAGCAGATGGATACGTCGAGCGAACGAAGAATACATACCTGATGCCCGATCATGATGGTAAAGTGGGTGGTGGCCATAGCACCATCGCTCAAGTTGAAGTGATTCCAGAGACGGCAGAGACTTGACAATCGTAGAGAGGGACTGAATGCTGATTTTTGGCATGTACCGTCGGCGTATAAGGAGTTTAGAAACGCAATCGACTTTGGCAAGAAGGGACGTTCCCACTTTTGAATCATCGTGAAACGTAAGGTGTGCAGGGCCCAGGATATCTAAGGGACGTGGCATCCGCAACTCTGACACGTGGATTGCCGGGCTAGGTTCGCCGTACGTATCGAATAATTCTAGTCTGTCCGGATTTCGCAAGTGCCCATCAAGTGACCGCTTTCTTGGCGGAGGCCCATAACGAATGTAGAAGCCTTTAGACCGCCCAGGATAGAAGCGCTGGCCCCGTGCACTCGAAGGGACGATGCCAAATTCCAATGTGATGCCATGGCCTTCCCAGGTCGATAATTCTAGGAATAACGTCTCTGTTGCCTCTGTGAAGCAAACTGTATCCATGTCGTTACCCACTCTGTGACAGAGCCAGATCTCCAACAAGATGTGCTTCACATAGTGTTTCCGTCCGCGGCAATACTTGCTGAACAACTCCAGGTCCTTGAGGGTGAGGGTCAAATGGCGGAATAGCTCTCGTTCGATGACGACCTGCCAGGTTTTGCAAACTGTGGCGCAGGGGGACACGTCCACGCTGCTGTCAGCTTTACCCAAAGCGATTAGCCAGTCCAGTACACATAACTGGATATCGTAGGGTATTTTGGGGCGAGACATGCGGTTTGCTGACCGTGTCGTGACGGGCATCTTGGTTTTGGTACGATATGTGATGGTTGCTGGAAAGGTTGGACGGGGGGTCCTGAAATTGATGGAGGACGAAAAAGCCTGGCTTGAACCTTGTCAAGAAATGAGACGCCTCAAATTTGACGCGTCACAGGATGAAGTGAATTTCAAACGTTTTATGTGGCGTTTGAACAGGCAACAAGTCTTCTTGATTGTTGTCCCTTTGTTCGATTGCTCTCGATGCGAGAAAGAACTTTGATGTTAATGTAACAAACAAGACAGTCTGTATCTTATCAACAACTCGTTTCACATCAAGGATACACAAGTTCCTCTATTCATGAGAGCCATGATTGTTCAAATGTTTAACTTAATTTGGACAAATCTTGACTACCATTATCCCGAGCGCATAATAGGCAGCAGCTATACAAACCTTGGGAATGATAGTATGGCATCAGTCCACCTCCTTCAATCCCATCTAGAGGCCGTATCGCGAGTATTCAAGAAATGAAAGTCCCAAATCGATCCATTTTATTAGAGACAACTAACTAGAAGCTGCCAAAGAGCAGGAACGAAAGCAACCACAACAAACACAGAACACGACGATCATTCGCCGCCCATATCCTCATCGGAGCCCCTTTCCTGACCCTGATCGGTAACAGACGAAATGTCTCTAAAGGCTTAGGCTACTCCAGTGATGTAGCCTAAATGATCGTCTCAATTGGCATTGGATGATGAGACTCTTTCGTCTCTTAGGGCTATGCCCGGTAGCTCCTCTGCCACCGAGCGGCCCAACCCCAGCAGTCTCATCTTCAGCAGTGCCATCGGAAGTGCTCAGGGAGTATAGCGACGGATAGTCGCCCGGGCGCCTAAAGCATGCGTTCGGAGATACGGGGTGCGGGAGCATCGTTGGCGGAGGCATCGCTAAGGAGAGCCACAAGTTCAGGCTTGAGCTTCTTGCCGAATGTTCGGCGGTTGCTCTTCTCACCGGGAACAGCGGTATCAGGGCACGTATCGATGCGCTGGAGGCACTCACGGAGAGTGTGGGCCTCGGGACAGTTGGCGGTATAGGGAGGGGCATTGGCGACCCCGCGGGCATTGACCTCGGCGATGGTGAGATCTTCGCCAGCCTGTGATTGAGATGTTAGCAATGAGATTTCGCAGATAGGGCGTCAAACGTACAAGTTGACGCATCATCACTAGCATGTTCTTGCTCAGCGATTCAAGCTGCTGGGCTCCGATGACGTCCATTGCCGTGTTGCGGTAGGGGTTGAGAATGACCTCATAGGTCTTCTTGAATGCAGAAGTACACTCTTCGAAGCAGTTGACGATGCGCCAGCGCTGCAATCCCGACCAGTCATCGAGAAGAACATGGGCAGTGTAGGAGTTCCAAAGCTTCTGGGCAGCACCCAGAAGCTCCTGGGGAATCTGGTAATGGTAGTCAGCGAACGGTCGACGAGAGGACAGACGGTGGACGTACAGCACAGCACTTTTGGTTTCCGTCGCCACACATAATGCAGCGGGTCGCCAAGCCTTCTTCGACAACGCAGCAAATGCAAACATCGCGCTGGAGAGTCATGATACAGTGGTAGCAAGGCTGTTCGCCGGCATTTTGGCCAAGAAAGCCGACGGCAGGGTCAAACGGGAAGTCTTCCAAGGCGGAGGCGACAGTAAGTCTGATAGACATGACGGCGATGGGAAAGCGATGGGAAAGCGAGTGATCAACCAGGAGAAGGAGATGGCGGAGGAAAGGTGAGGTTATTTTGAAGAAGGTAGGAAGGAAGGAAGGAATAGCAGAAGGCAAGAAAAGAAAACGAAGAATGCCCTAGCAACGACGGCCAGTCGGACTAACGAAAACAGCGCACTGATTTTTAAAATCTTGCCAGCTGGCTCGCACTGCCGTCAGGGTACCAGAAGAACTGGCCCGCCAATAGCATAAGAGACAAAACAATCAGGTTGATTGATTACCTCATGCGAGATTAGAATGGCTTTTAGGTCACCTCATCTTAACAATCTAAGCCTTTGAGAATATTTCTCCTGCTACCTACCTGATTGCCAATCAGTCAGTAAACATGGCTAACCATGGAAATGACAACACTAGCACTATTGTCGTTTGGCTTATAGAACTAAAAGGTTTATTGAAGAGTAGGTAACAGGAAACTGAGTCCGATTTTATGTCTCAGTTCGTCACACCCTCTTTTGATCTCCAGCCAATTCCAGTGACTTGTTTCTCCTCATCAAGCATCAATATGACGGTCGAGCTATACCTATAGACTGGTGGTCTAACAACCGAGCGCGACATGGAATCCAAAATGTCCAGATAGTGTGCAGCTCTATAAATATTTCAAAGAAAATGGCATCCCTTACTGGAGCTAGAACACTAGTGTGATTTCGGAAGTGAGCAAGAGATAATCATTTATAAAGAATAAGTTGAACATTATGTATTAAGAGCCTCCGTCTGGAACTGGTCTATATACCCGACACCGACACCCTCAGATCCTCCGCTTACTTGGGAAGGTTGGCAGGAGTGTAAGACTGGTTAGGCTTAACAACCTTTCCACCCTGAACCTGCTTATCAGTATAAGCAGGCCAAACAATCTGTCTCTTAGAGGAGACAACCGAGAAAGTGGTGAATCCATTTCCAGGACCAAACTGGCCACTCCAGCCAGAGGTGACGGTGAAATCACCGCACTTGACAGGGCCGCCGTTGCGCTGAGAGGCCTTGCTGCCCTTGACGACGAACTTGCAGGTGGTGGCAGCACCCGAGTGAGTGTTGACCTTGAAGTTCCAGGTGCACGAGCTGTCGTCCTTGGCGCAGCTGCGCTGCATGTTTTCGATGGTCCACTGGGGTGATGCGGCCATCATGTTGACGGTGCCGGCGGCGGGGGCGGCGGTGACGCTGGTGGCCGAGAGGACGGCGGCGAGGAAGGCGAGGGAGAACTGCATGATTGCGGTTTGGTGGTGTTCTGCAATAATTAGTATATTGTATGCAAGTGTCAATGGGTAGACAAACTTGAAAGGGTGGAAGAGGTCGTAAGTGGTAGTGGTAGTAGTAGCGAGTGACTGAGTTGTAGCTGATAGAGAATACCAAAGCCAGTCTCCTTGCGTCCCTTATATACATTTTCCCTTAGACATGTCTTGGCTTATACGACATGATCAAGCAGACTATACGAGATTTGACGCATCTCAACCCATGTCTCCAAGCCCGAGCAAAATCTCGAAGGGCCCATGGCTGAAAAACGGCACTTACCAAACTGCGCTAAAGCACAGCTTAAACATTCACGTGGTAGCCTTGGTTGTCTGATTCATCCCTAAACAGCTTAGCTACATCTCGTATAACCCAGTAGTTTATTTATAGCCAAAACCCTTGTCCCCTTGCAAATGGCTTCACCTGACAGCTAAGCTAGAAGGCGGTTCTTTTGTGCTCGTATCATTCCATAGGGAATGAATTATCGAAAGGCGATCCCGAATGCGGCCAGATCAATGGCTATCTTTGGGTAGACCGCGATACCACGTTCCTTTTAGTGACGCCACGGGTCGTTTAGATCGGAAGGTCGGCATTTTTTCCAGGGGTCTCGGCTGTGCCCGCGCTCTCCACGTTTATCCGGACCGTCTGTGACGTTACCCTGGAAGAGCGGAAAGCTTGGCTTTTGCCAAATTTGACTTCTTGTCTTGGGTAAGAACCTCAACACCATTGTCAAATGACGATCTATCTCAGCTGGAGGTATTGTAATTCTCTCGCTCTTCTCCTCATGTCGATCACGGTGTTCATTCCTGTTGCGAACTGACATTTTAGCCCAATTGTGAAGTTGATTGAGAGGGTGATTTTGCTAGCTCGTGACCTTTGCTCCGGTACGCTGGAATGATCAGCCCACATTTTGCCGAGCGATCGCCCCGTTCTGGATCTGGAGCTCCATGTTAAATCTGGACCGTAAGACATGATCACAGCTATCCCTAAACTGGATAGTAGAGTTACTAAGTAGATATGGACAAGAGGTATTTTTAATTGTGGTGAAGAGTCGAGCACCAGTGCAAGTCAAGCGATGTTACGCGACAAGCAAGACTGATGCCTAAGGCTTTAGCCGTGACGGACTAATATTAATCCAGAGAGCCAGATCCCGGATGTCTGTAGGGTAATTCCAAAGCTTCATACTATAAATAACAGAGATAGCTTTGATTCAATATTAATATTCCTCTGACTAATTGGACTAACACACCTTGTGCTGTAAATGCAGTCCAAGCATACGCGTGGGCTAGATTTTAGTTGCTTATAGTTGTCAGCACATTGGTTATGCCCGATTAGTTTTTTGTTGTGTTTAGTTTTCCATCAACAATTCACCAAACCCAAGTGGATTCGCTCCGATACGGCAATCGATTAGAGCTTATCGATAAGGCACTTCCACTTGTAACCTCAATGACGTCATACCCATCTCAATCTCACTGCTGTGAACACCAATACATATAAGAAACTTGGATGACTGCACTACGCTTAATGGAAATGTCTGACTCTTCTAGCGCCACAGTGATACTACGCCGTTGTCTGTCACTTATCAGTCAGTTGGGAATGTTCCGAGACTGTCTGCTAGCATTTCTGACGAGAAGAAGACGATCAGAAGTATATTATATTAACTATGCATCTTATCACGAGATGTGTCACCGTCACACCCCAAGTAACCCGGAATCTTTAACTGATATCTAATTGTTCGCATCTGGATTTCTCCTAGTTGCAAAATACATCCTCCAGCCAATCCAAAGAAACCTGGTTCATCAACACTGAAGCTCCAATCTGGCAATGCTCACCGGCACCCAAAACATCCTCAAATACATGGTAAGTGGCACGCTCTCCAAGTTCCTTGGCCAGCTTCGCAGCCTGTCCCTCGAAAAAGACATCGCTCTTGGCTTCACCGACAAATACAGGAGCTTTAATCTTCTGAGTAAGTCCCTTGAGTGTGTACTGTTCGGCCTTCTTGACAAAATCATAGGCTGATTGAGTCTTGAAAGTCCATTCGCCTTGGTTCACACCCCATCGCAAGGTTGTAGGAGAATCTGGGTTCGCTTGGAGCTGCTTGCCAAGACCATCGACCTCCTTCTTCATCCCAGCCCGAACAGCCTTGGCAGCGTCCGGGCCGAACTGTTGGAGGATAGCTTCGCCGAAGTCATAGACACCATCGATCGCGATGACGGCTGCGAGTCGGTGCTCAAAAGCAGCAGCTCTGGGGGCCAGGAAGCCACCGAATGAATAACCCATCAAAGCAATCTTGTCGGCTTGCACATCATCACGAGTGAGGACGTAGTCGACGACGGGGGTTACAACCTTTTCCCATTCGGGAATGAATCCGAGATCTTGATATCGGCGGACCGTTGGCTGTCCTGGACCCTCGTACACGATAGCGTTCATGCCACGCTCAAGAAGAGCTTGGCCCATGACATGGTACAAGTCTTCCATGGCTCCATCGTAGCCTTGACCAAGAATAACCGTGGGGCGTCTTCCGGGCCAGTTGGTTTTGAAGAAGATAGCCGGGATAGTAAAATTGTCCGCCTGAATCTGGATTCGTTCACCGGGCTGCGGCAGCAGCTGAATGGCCTTGTCGTAATCTGCAGCTTGCTTTTCCCACAAGTCCATAATTCTCGGATCACTCCAGTTGCCATGAAGGTAGACATCGGCAGCGCGATAATAAGTAGCTGCTCGAAAAAATGCATTTCTAGCAGAGACGGGATGCTTCTTGGCGTCAATTGCGACAGCCTGGTTGTGCACGCGAGTAGCCAGGGCGTTGAATTGTTCATAGAAACTTTCGAAATCTCCGTCTTTGATATTGTTGGCGGCAACAAGCACCTCGCCAATATCAGCGCCTTGGTATGGAGCGGCGGACATGTAAGCCAAGATGTTGAAGTTGAATGAGTCGTCGCCCATGATAGGAGCCATGGTTGCGTTGGTTGTGACATTGTGCATGTCGCGTCTGAAGGAACCCGTAGTAGGGATTGCAAGTGCTGGAGTCTGCAACATGGTAGTCAGCACAATGGTAGTAGTTGTCAGGAACCTTGACTTACTAGAGTGTAGCTTGCAATCAGCAAGGCGGTGGTTTTGAGGGATGTTTTCATATTGAAGGTGGCGAGTGAAGTCTTTGCAAATTAGAGACGAAAGCTAATGAGCAGGTAAAGAATGACAAGTCGAGATGCTCTTGTCTTATATAACATATTGGACTTCCCTTTGGCAAGGCTCAGCGTACGGAGATAATTGACATGGAGAACGATCCTCCAGGGCTATGAACAATCCTTGCATGCTATGAATGATCCTTCGATACTACCAGGTCTATCGTGATAGGTCGGTAGTACTTGCCATGAGATCATCTTAACCTATTCTTTTTTCGCATGCGAATGCGAATCCTCAGTGGATCATAGTAATTTCACAAATTCTGGGTCAAGACAATGGGTGCTACTGTAACAACAGGACAGTAAGCACTAAGAAATCCTGCAGCGAACTTGTATATAGGTACAGCCACCAATTGATCGTCGCATGAAGCTAAACCTATCAAGGTATGTCATTTCGACGCTAGGCTCTGTATAGTCTAGTGACATCATCAGGTACAAAACGGCCCCCATGTCGTCGAAACAACATACCTCTTTCACATAAATTCATGCGTGGTCCTGGGCAATACACAGCCACCAGCAGCAGAGAACCTACTTGCTACTGCATCACTTGTCTCAGGATACTGGTCCTAGTTTAAACTATTTTCCATCCAAGCTGTCCTAACCAATCGGGTTATAGGACTAGAATGGGCTTCGCAGGGAAGCCCTCACAAGCCTGTGAACCATGTCGTCTCAAAAGGAGAAAGGTACCTATAAACCACTCAAGAAGCCATAGCCATAGATAAAGTGGCGTGACATATATTTATCTCGAAGAAATTAGTGCTAACCATTCATACACTAGTGTGACCAGAAGAAACCTCGATGCTCTACATGTACGCGTATGGACATTGCTATCTGTGAATATCGAAGCCTCCGAGTGCTCAAAATCAAGGATGAGACACGCAAGGTGAATGAAAAACACCGACGCAATCAAGTTCTCGAAAACCACCCCGAAGGGTTACGTCCAATACACAATGTTGTTCAGCACATCCCGGAAAATGTTCCATTCCCACTTGAGGCCACCGCGTTAGGATATTTCTTTTCCATCTTTTCACGTTCAGGAACCTTTGCATATCTACCCGAGTTTTCATCTTCCTTGATAAAGGATGACACGATCACACAAGCCCTATGTGCGTCAGCATTGGGGTCAATGGCGTTACAACACAGAGATAACAGCTTATTGTGTATGGCTCGGCAATACTATGCCAAATCACTTGTCCAAACGAACCGGCTACTTAGTCAACCCGAAACGGCAGTTATTGATAGTACTCTACTTTGCGTACTTCTGCTATCAGCGTTTGAGGCACTCTGCTTCCATAATGGCGGTGATCCCGAAAACTGGACTGCTCACATTCGGGGATCTTCTCAGCTTCTCTTGTTGAGAGGCAAGAGACAGTTCCAAAGCTACTTCGGGCGGTTGTTATTTCATCATGCCGGGATCAATGTGTTGATTGATTCCATCGTTCATCACACCCCAGTATCTCCTGAGCTTAATCAACTTTTTGAGGATGCCATATCTTCATCCCCTGACCCTATTAGCGAAAGTATAATTTCTCTGCTTTGGCGCATAGCCGCGATATCCCCGAACATGAGGAATATGACAACCAAAGAAGTGCTGAGGGAGACCCTGGAATTGCACGACCAGGTGAAAGTGTTTCGCGAGGACCTTTGTGAAATGGCACCGTTTGAAGTCGTGCACGCACTGGATGGCAATGACAGGTACCAGGAGGTTCACAACATCCATACCTTTGAAGGTGTGATGCATCGATACCAAGATCAACAGGAAGCACGCCTACACAATGCGTCGAGGCTAATAAACCTGGGTCTGCTGGATTCGATCTATTATGCCTTGAAAAGTGGCTCAGGCACAGAGAGTTCCAGTCCATGCCAGGATATGAACCGCACGGGAGACCTCACGATGGAGAAAGTACTTGCCGAGAGCGCAGAGCTGGTCAGAGATATACTAGCCAGCGTTCCCTACTATCTAGACCAACTCGAACCGCAAAACAGCATAGAGGCGCGGTACCTCATTTGGCCTTTGACAAGCATCGTAAGTCTCGACGTATGTCCGCCCTTGGCTAGGCACTATATCCAAGATCGCCTTATGGCGCTTGGCTACAAGTACAATATGAGACAAGCTATAGAGGTGGCAACGATGCTGGATCAACGAGATCACGTACAGAAATGGTGAGGGGTCAACAGTCCGACAACAGTTCGTGTGAAATTTGGCTAATGTAAAAATTCAAGCAGTATGCATATTATCCATATGTCTTGAGAGTGGAAAACTCATGGGCGAACGAAGGCGGTGTAGTGGGGTCATTAGACCTCACTTGAGACTTGTCCCGACTTGCATCAAAATGAAAGTAGTGTATGGATAATAGATATATCTCCAGATCGACGTCTTAAGTTCTCTGTCTGATCGCAAGATGGTATCCATCCGCCGCAAGAAAGTCTTTGCTATAATAGGCAAAGGCCAAGTAGCATCTCAAGTTAGGTTCAACATAAACAACTCCAATGCAGTTATCATTCTGACTACAGGCCTGGATGCAGTCAAGGAAGCTGGCGGTTACAAAATCTGTAGCTGCTGTGAGGAACCTAAACCCATTGCAGAAAATGTCATAAGTGTCATCGCCAACTTGCAGGGGGCTGCTGAGATCTTCGCAGGTTAAGAGACCAGAGGTCTCCGTCGGGGCGGCTGGGGTGGTAGCATCGCTAGTAGGAATATCTGCGGTAGTAGTATCTGCAGTAGTAGTATCTGCAGTAGTGGTATCTGTGGTAACACTGTTTGCAGTAGTAGTATCTGCAGTGGTGGTATCTGCAGTGGTGGTATCTGCAGTGGTGGTATCTGCAGTGGTGGTATCTGCAGTGGTGGTGTCTGCGGTGATGCTGTTTGCAGTAGTGGTGTCTATAGTAGTAGTATCTGCAGTAGTGGTATCTGTGGTATCTGTGGTAACACTGTTTGCAGTAGTAGTATCTGCAGTGGTAGTATCTGCGGTGATGCTATCTGCGGTGGTGGTATCCGTTGTCTCGGTACCTGGAGCCGCGGTAGTTGTGTCGGCGATGACGGCATCTTTGAAGGCAATATCCCAACTGTCGCTATCCTCGGCAGATCCGGCGTCGAAAAACGACCACAAGTAACAGTAGGAATTGATGGAACTGCTTCTATACAATGATATTCCAAGACAGGCTTGAATCTTCGAGCAAGCCTGCAGGCATGGAATGAAGTCACTCAAGTAGGGGTTCTGAAGCAATGCAGCGCCGATGAAGGTATTGCAGGCGAGGGTAAAGGTGACGCCATTAGAAGCTGTGTATGGGTTATTGGTATCGGTGCAGGCGGGGTTCGCGGTGCCTGGGCTCGTGGCCGAGGCATCTGCAGTCGCAGTACTAGCAGCTGTGGTAGTAATATCTGTGGTATCTCCAGTTGTAAAGTCCATGCCAATGGTGCCCGTAGTCAACAACGTAATGTCAATGGTAGTAGTATCTGTGATGGTAACATCCATGATAGCAGTAACTGTAATAGCTGTATCCGTGATGGTTCTATCCATAATGGTTGGGTCTATAGTAGTTGTATCCTTTAAGACAGTATCTATAATAGTTGTATCTGTGTTGGTTGTATCTATCAAGATAGTATCTATAACAGTAGTGTCCGTGGCGATAGTGTCTGTAAGGGTACCCTTTGTGAGGGTAGTGTCGACTTGGGTTGAGGGGATAGAAGATGTACCATCTGGCGCATCTGTGGTACTTGAAAAAGAAGTGAGATCAGACCCAATCGGTAGCTGCACGTCGGGGGTAGCTGTTGATCCTGAATGCGAGATAGATGTTGCAGCTGACTTTGACGAAGCAGGTAGCTGGGGAGTTTCTGAGGAAGCCATGTCGGACGCCCCGAGATCAGAAGTGAGGGAGGTACCAATTAATTCAGATTGGGTCATAAAATCGTTGGAGCTGTATGAGACTCGCACAGTGGTAGTATCCTCGATAACAGAAGTCATCGGGGGATCAGTCTCCCTAGGTGTGGCTGTGTCTTGAGGGATTGTGTCAGAGAGTATCGCAGTCTCGTCATCATCGCCAATGAGCCGACCATCTTGACATTGTGTAACTGGAACCTAATCAGCGCCTGTAATGAATTGAGAAATAGCAATCCTACCGTCATATACAACAAGTTCGACAGATATGCACCCAACGGGTCCATTGGTAAAAGTTACATAGACGATACCATCAGGGGTCTGACAGAAACCCGCCTTACCATTTGGCAAAGCTGAGTTCCTAAACACAAGCCGACCGGTATCTTCAAATGTCTGTGTAATAGACCCACTAGATGGGAAATCCAGACCTGATAATTCCTTGTAGCTCTCGCCTGAGTAGTAAATAGCTGCACCGCCTTCAAACAACTGACCTTTGGTAAGGTTGAAGGTTGCAGCGAATGTACAGCTTTGTGGGTTGTCATTCCCAACAAAACCCCCAATGGCTTGTCGCTTGTTCGTGCTGCGTTTCTGGTTGTCGACAACAGAGATTCGGAATATGACGGAGCGTCCGACCGACTCGACGAAACCACTTGAGGTTGGGATGGCATCTGTACTAGTGATAGGGTTAAGCTCTGTTGACAATGAAGAGGTGACGCCTTCATCAATCACAGGCTCAGTTATCGGGTTAAGCGATTGCGTCACAGAGCCTGATTGCGCGACAGTTGTTTCTGTATCCAACGTCGACAGCTCAGGGCCATTTGACGACAATCCAGCGGCTCTAGAGGACTCTGGGACAACGATCGAGGTCGGAAGTTCCGTATCTAACGTTCTGTTACTACTTCACTCCGAGAGCATTACATGAAGGGGTCTCGTGCTGAAGCTTGCCTGGGTCTGCTGAGTCGAAATGTTTGCAGCAAATGTTGGCTTCAGAGACGGAGCGATCGGCTGTCTCCCGGACTCTTTGGCAGGCCTTGTCAATGCCGGCGAATTGGCCTGGTTGTAGATCGGAACAAGATAAGTGGAAAGGTATGTCATACACCAGGTATCTTGAACTGGCGCGTAATCCACTGCCGAAACAATAGTTATGCACCCTAAAACGGTATAAACGAATGCGGGTCTCCTCATGGTTCTTTTCACTATGGGGACGTAGTCCACCAGGTAAAAGATTCAAGGGAATGGGCACGGCTATAAATAAATGGAAACAACATTTCTCTGAGATATGTTTATTACTACTTGAAGAGAAATGACTTGTGGCAAATTACCAATGTTGCCAGAATCAACAGATGAGCACAAATTCATCATAAAGAAACGCCTCTTCATCTGCTTTCTAACATGTATTATTAAGACTGAGATCGGTTGGTGCGCGAGATGGTATGAAGCATCAGCTTCCCTTGCATACACCAGCGCTTAGTTCACTCTGCACCAATAAGCAATAGGGCTGCCAGCCAGCCACATTCTATCCCTTACGCTGTTGACCAATTAATGTAGTCAGTCAGATATGAAAGGGCAACAATACTGAGACATAAACATTCATCGAACCAACAGGTGTATTGAAACCCAAGCTACTGCGATCTGATCTGACACTCCAGAAATTCACAGATCAGTTCCATTTCCGCTCTTTTGAGCGTGGCATTTTCTGGAGCACCAACAAGACCATGACCCATTAAAGAAGGAGACAAGTAAAGAAAAGAAAACCTTAACTATTATAGTCACTTTATACTGTCGGTAACAAGGTAACAATAGCTTATACTTTACATTATTTAGTTTATATACTATAACTGCTTAGGATAGCTCACTTATAACTTTTAGTACTACACCAAGACTACATGTACAGTATGATTCTTAGGGCTGTATAGAAATTGGTCCCCCGTTGATCTCAACTACCTGACCACGTAATGACTGAGGCGGTCGACCCCAGTCCTATTTTCCGCAGTCTAGAAGGTATTTACCTTGGCACCGTTAAGATGTCACAGCTTCAGATCAGTTGGCGTGTGGCACGGACGGGTATTCGATGAGACGGTTACTGTTTTGGAATTAACTATATTACTTCTGGCATAGCTCACTATTCCGCCAACGGTGGCTAGTCCCATGCTAAAGCCCCTGTTCAGGTCTCTTCAGCTTTGCCCTATAAGAGGTTTGCGGCTGACTCGCTGATCCACGATCAACAAGCTGAAGCCCCGTTTTCAGGATATCAGATTTGTGAAAGCTCAAGCACAGCACTGACTGTATCATTAGGCGCAGTAGCGAAGAATGCGTGGCTGGCCTGATCGACCAGGACGGTCCGCTTAATGCCCCCTATTGCGGCATACTGCTCCTGGCCAGCTAAAGGAACAACACGGTCCGCCCCACAAAGAACGTAACCCGCCGTGCCCTCGAAGTTGGGATCTGTAAGGGGAGAGTATGTCACTGGAGTGTTGATGCTGTTCAGCGATTGAGGCTGAAGTAGAGAAATGTAATGCGCTGCGACATCATCGGGAATGTCGTGGTACATTACTTCTTTTGCGCCTGTGAAGGTGACGAAGCCTGTGTTTTCCTGTTGATTAAAGTTTTGGTTAATATGGAGCACAGTATCTTGGAGGCCCTGCGGCACAGCACGGGACAGGGGTAGGAAATTTCATTGCTTACGTCGTGATCGGCCCAGGCCGGCAGATGTTGCGCATCAGTGCCCATCATATCCAGCGTAGACTGGCCCTCGAGAGGTGTCACGGCCGAAACGTAGACAAGCGAAACAACACCTCCTTGTTTCCCTGACTGTTTTCTTTCCCGTTTGCTCAGTCCTTGAACGGCTTGCGAGCCATACATGCCGCCGTAAGAATGCATCATGACGATAACATCTTTACCGGCCTCGACGAGAGGTTCGAGCAGATTTGTTCGCAGTGAGGCAGCATCCCCTGTTACAGTGGCGTTGGCGTCAACTACCCCAGGTGCATTCTGGCTGACAAAGTCATAGTTGCGTTCTGTAAAGATCTTCTTCACTGCGTCGAATGACTCGACTGTGTGCCATGCACCCGGTACTGCTAAGATGGTTGGAAGCATTGAAGCACGCATGGTAAAGAACAAAGTCTAAAAGAAAGAGGTGTAACAGCACAGACTGCCGAGATAAACGTGGCGTGTTGTGTTGATGCACGCGGTAGATCAATGGCCGAGGATATCATGCTTTTTATACATGTGCCCAAGGTACCAATGCCCGCTCAGCCGCTGTAACTAGCGCGATCCTGGTGTTGATACTCCGTATGCCATATCCGATTCATCAAAGGATCCTGGTATCCATTGCCGGAACCTGAGTCAATGTTACGGCCCGCAGGGGTCTCAAAGATTAGCGTGAGACCGGGATTCGTCCTTTTTAATGAATTACCTTATAATAGAACTCTTGAAAAGTCGAGAAAAAAGTAGTTTCGTACCCTGAAGACTATATACCAGGGCCGGGTTGTATTCTTCTAACTTTCTACAGTACCTGTCTCCAGGATTGAAAGTAAACTTGAATTGGGTATCAAGCTGACATTGAAGACTGGATGTTCTCATACCCCATAAGTCAAGCTTTCGCAAAACGCTTTGACAGCGGCTGACATTACATCCTCTCTCGAAAACGGTAAGAAAACCCTTAAATCGAGTCATGAACATGTCAAATGTGACAGGTCCAATGTAACCCCCCTAATCGTTTATTCGCCCCAATTCAATAGGGAAATGACGGGGTTGATCATTCAAGGCTCGCTAGCCCATACTGTATGTACATTTGGATCAGTAAAGACTAAAGCTTAACTACTGCCCGTAGTGTGCCTCTTTTTTGCAAGCTAAGCATTATGGCGTCTCAAACCGGCGACGCCGCCTTCCTAGCGGAGAGTCGTCAAAATGAAGTCTACGCAACTCATATCGCCTTCTTCATTATGATGATGCTTATAGTTCCGTGTCGATTCTTCTCAGCAAGGATAACAGACAAGAAGTTGGGATGGGATGACTGGCTTGCATACTTTGCCGCTGTAAGTACATCTACAGACTATTATTCATCGCACATCTCACGATCGCGCAGTTCAACACCATAGGCGTCTTCATCGGAAGTATGCTATGGCTTCGATTCGGCCTCGGGAGACATCTCACGTGGGTTGTACAAGACGATCCCAAGAATATTGAGCGCTTCTTCAAGACGATTGTGGCCAACGAGATGTTCTATACCACAGCTTTGGCTTGTGCCAGATTGTCACTGGTGGCCTTCTTCTACCAGATCTTTGGTGTATCGAGCATGCGTTACTTTCTCCATGGATTTGTTTTTCTCATCATTTCCTGGGCCATCTCAACAGTTTGTGTTTTTCACCCAATACTCCATGCGTACAGCTAACACAGGGACTAGTATGTTCCGTCCATCCGTACATGCTGGCCCATACACACCTTTTGGGACGGTACACAGCAGAATTGTATCGACCTGTCCAAATTTTACGTCGGAGTCGCCATTGGTGGAATCATCACGGATATTGGCTTGATGATCTTGCCTCTTCCTTATATCTTTACTCTCAAGGTCCCGTTGTATCACAAGATCTTGATTGCAATGATGCTCATCTTCGGAAGCTTGTAAGACAGTATTGGTCCCCGGATATTATCGAAATACTAAAATTGACAGCGCGTGTTTCGTTACCATCATCCGACTGACTAAAGTCATCACTGTCGATCTTCTGGATCCAACATGGGGGACAGTCGACCTAATGATCTGGACAGGCATGGAAGTCTACAGGTACATACTTCAACTTCGATACATTGTACACATGATTAACGTCTCTAGTGCTGTTATATGTTGCTGTCTTCCAACTATGCGCCCTTTGATCAAGTTTGTCTGGAAGAAGTGCGGCTTGAAGAATCTGAGTTCAAGCGGCAATACAGATGGCTCGATGCCAGCATCCACTACGGAGGGCATTTGGAGTCGCAAGTCCCGCCAGACCTCACGACATCAACAAGATACTATACTTGGAAATGGCAATGCAGATGAGTTGGAGTTAACGAAGTGTGCTTATTATGAGCTACGTTCAGATAATCGTGCGCATACGAGCTCACAAACTTCGATTACAGAGCATGTACATCAGCAAGTTTAAGGCTGTCCTTTCCTAGCTACTGGCATAGGAAAAGAAGATAAGCTAGAGTTAGTAGTACAATATTGTAGAAAAATATTAAAGCAGTAAATTGCATTAGTAACTGGATGAAATAAGAGATATTATACTGTTTATCAGCCTATGTTACAAGTAACAGGAAGTTAAATAAAAGTGCACTCTGAGTTAAGTCTTATAGATCTTAGTTTAACTACTATATAAACTTATAGGATTAAATTTGTCTTGCATATATCAAATGTACACCTATTGAGTTCTTATTATATTAGAAGAATAGACTCTTTTTGTTGTGGTGGCTTGGCCCTACGGGGTAGGTTCAATGTCCTATGGTGTATGTACTTACAGGGATTAAGTTAGGCAGAACCCCCCTCTGCCTAGACTGATTACGCATATCTTCATAGAAGGATTCACAGGATTAAATTATAAGAAGCAGCAGGAGAATCAATTATTATCGCAAAATGAAAACCATCAGACTTAAACATCATGGCCTCAATCACAATGCCCCCTACAATTGACTTTCCCAACTTCCAATATGAGAATCTGCCCTCACCCTCTTTAATTCGTTTACTGTCATTCATCAAAAGACCTCGCCAATTGTCACCTCCCACGATATTCGGACAACAAGTCATCGAATGTGTCTTGGAAACAGTAGAGATCAACACAGCCCCCGCTTACGATCTTATCTCCGCAATACATGGGAACCCAGATAGCGCCGATCCAGGCGACATTGACGATTACGGACCAATGCATCGCTATCCTATCTCCGTCAACGGAAAAATGATGTTCGTGACCAGAAACATCTATGAGTTCTTGAAGATGGCCGAGAAGGTCAACGATTCCGTTGAGAAGCGCGATGAGATCTTCCTTGAGACGAAATTAATCAATGCTGCTCGAAATAATCAGCGAACAAAGGTTCAGAGGCTACTGGAACAAGGCGCTTTTGTGAATGCCCGAGACCGTTTTGGACAGACAGCGATTCACCACGCAGCAGAATCCGGCTTTTTAGACACCATGGGCCTTCTACTTGACTGCGGGGCTAGCATGAAGGTGCTGGATAATAAAGGTCAAACACCTTTTGATTACCTTGATTATGCGAGGCAAGGAGACTGGAATCGCCTTGAGGAAATTGCGTACAAGATGCAAAGGACACCCGAAGAAAGAGAACTTGTTCCGATCCCTCAAGTCGTTCGTGTTGGGAAACCAATGTGGATTGATGCAATTTGTATCGATCAAACGAACGACAGAGAACGGATTCATCATCGTTCTCTCATCAGCCAGCTCTATCAACGCGCGAACTCTTTGATCGCTTGGATAGGAGTTCAGGACGCCGAAACCACGCAGGCAATACAAACTATCACAAGAATCATTCGCTTCGTTGCCAAAGACGCGGAAGGTCGTTTTGTCCCTACAATGCCTTACGAGTTCGAGAAGCCAGCTATCATCAAGCTTCTGAGACGGTCTTGGTTCGAACGAGATGATCTAATGCATGAAGTTGCCTTTGGAAAAGCAATCACTGTTTACTGTGGTACTGACTCAATTCCCTTTTCTTATATAATGCAATTTCTGAGAAGGGAGCCTTATAGTAGAAGCTTCTTGCCTCCTGATCTTCAGATCTGGGCTTTGATTGGAGACAAAGGTTCGAACAAACGATTGTCACTGGAATTGGCGGGAGATCAGAAGAGGGTGCGACGAATTGAGACATGAGATTGGAGTCCTCTGTATTCACATAATGGTTGTGGGAAAACCTAGTTCATAGGATAAAACCATAACCAAGGACAAACAGTAACGCAGATACCAATACCACCACCCGAATCAAAGCATAGTGGTCTCTTAGCATATCCTCTTATCTAGGACACCGTAAGACATCTTAATTGCCAGTATCACCCGACTATTTAGCAGTCTCCCTGACCGCTCACCTCCCTGCAAGCATTTGCTAATGACGCATAAGTAAATATAATTCCAGTTCGAATCATAAAACAAAAGGTCCCACTTACAAGATTGTCCAAGGCAAGCTCCAACGCCTGCCGCAGGTAGACCAGCACAGCCGATGTTATAAGCCAAGATGCACTGGGAAAACTGCTTTCGATCGCAGCGTTTCTCAATAGTGCTTTCTTGCTCAGCCACTGGAGCAGCAAGACCCATGGCAGCTATGCAAAGAATTGCGAGGGAGAACTTCATGGTCGCGGTCTGAAGAAGATAGAGGGGAGTAATGTGGGCTTTCTGAGGACTGTTTGTAGGAGTATGCTATCAGGGAGTGGATAGTAGTAGTTGCCTGACGTGCGGGATTGTGCCTTTTTATATCACAACTGGCCTAACTCTGAAGCAAATCGTACCTATCGGAAAACTATTTCCCTCTGATGAGAAGAAAGTTACTTGCGAATCCTACGATGACCTCATGACTTTATTTCTTGACTGAGTGCGAGGTGCGAGCTCGGTTTCTTTGAAATCTAGTACTACAGTGTGTAGTATTTAAAAATCCTACAAGTATAGAAGTCCGTCCTAAGTGGAGAGAAGGATTCAGTGCAGAAGGTCCGCGCGTAATTCCGATGCCGACTTCCGTTCTTTATGTACTCGATAGCTTATTCCCATAGAAATTGTGCATACGTTGCATTTAGCCGGCATCAGGATAAAATGGAAGGTCCCTGTCTTTTACGACAGGATCAGAATAAAGTTACCTTCTGTATGAAGAAATTCATGCTATTATCCTGGAGCATAATTTCCGCTACTAGATTTGGAGATGGCGATTCGAACCTTCTTTAGATAGGTGTTCTATCTAACAATGGAATTAACCTGGACCGATCTGGCTTATGAAGGGGCTGGTAAACTATCTTAAGGCCTGCCGTCTCCTACTCATGCGGATGAATTCGCTACCGCGGCGTTTTTTAATTGTTCAATCCAATACATGACAATCTTATCCCCAAGAACAATGCCGAGAATAAGCCACGTTTTAGTATACACTCTGAACATTAGTCTATTGAACAAGCTTGAGTCCCTTTGATCCGAAACAGGTATTCGAACGAATGAGTATTCTTGTAGATGGAAGGAGATCAGGAGAGGATAAGACACATCGAGACGTGAAGTAGAATCCGGGTTCTTGTTTGCTCTCTACTTGTTTTATAGACGAAAACGACCAAAGTAACAACCGAACCATGGCAACCATTTTCAGTACGTATCCTCATCTGAATGGCTGTCGGGATTTGCTTGGGTGGGCAACAGAAGAAATGCTCTCTACAACGTAGGCTACCAGAAGAAGGTATCCCGAATGCTCATCTAAATTCGCCTATGACTAGACCATTCCGTCTCATGCGTATGGTGGCCAATCCTCCTGAAGCTCTTCGGCCCCCGCAATGCCACAAGGAGTCGCTTAGGCAGGTGTACGGTCGGTGACCTGGGGCGCAGAAGCGTCGTTGTCTAGAGCGGCGAACAGGAGTGTCACAAGTTCCTCTTTGTGTTTCATGCGAAGTTCGTCGCGGTTGCTCGTCGGCCCCTCGCCTGGAACCGGAGTGTTACGGCACTCGGCGATCAGCCAAAGCTGCTTACGCAGTTTGTCGATTTTGGCACAGTCGGCGAAGAAAGCAGGAAAAAGGGCGGCCACTTCGGGAGGGATCTCAGCAATGGTATGTTCTACGCAATACTAAAATTGAGGCGTCAGCGACGAAGGAGGGTTCGTGGAGGGGATGGGGAACTTACGACAGCACTGACCATCATACACATGCTTCCGCGCTGCCGGGTAACCTCTGGGCTCGCCAGGTCACTGCCTTCGCCATCATAGGTCATGGGGCGGTCGGGGTCAAGAAGAATTTCGTAGACCGATCGAAAGGCAGAAGTCAACTCGCCGAAGAACTTGTCGATACGCCAACGCTGCAATCCAGTCCACTTCTCCTCGTGAAGAGCATGGGCGAAATAGCCGTTCCAGATCTTCTGGGCAGCGCCTAGAAGCTCTTCGGGGATCTTGAGATATCAGTGAACGTTCGAGAAGAAAGGAATAGAGAGATGGTGGACGTACAGCACAGCACAGCATGGCTTGTCAGCGTCAGCGCACCAGAGACATCGGTCCGTCGAACCTTCTTCAACGACGCATAAACCGCGAGCATCTTCATACAGAGACACGACACAGTGATAGCACGGCCATTCACTGGCCTTTTGGCCAAGAAAGCCGACGTGACGGTCGAACGGGAAACGCGCTAGGGCATTGAAAACTGTCAACTTGAAAGTCCAAGGAATGGCGACGAGGGTGCGTATTGGAGTTTTTCGAAAGTCAGGTTTCGAGTCGCACAGTTCAGATGAAGACGGTTGAAAAGGGATGAAGAGGTCGAAAGGCAACGAAAGGAAAGTGAGGTTGCAAGGAAAGAAGTGAGAAAAACCAGGAGGGAGAAGCAGAAAAAAAGAAATTCACCAGCAACGACCAGCTGTGCTAGGTAATGTCAACAAGGCGCAAGGTTTTCAAGATCCGGACACCTGCGTGACACTACCAACGCGAGCCAGTTAGCAACAATAGCACATTCAATACGGGCTGCAATCTCATTGGCAAATTAGTGCTATACAAGAATTCCCATCACGTAACTAGGATAATAGTATTGCTGAAAGTCATGTCCTAACGAAATACCTCCACCATGTCAGAGTTCAGTCTTCAGACCGCCGTTATGTCTATGCTCAACCGCCATCTCGACACTTAGTGACGACGAAAAACTCTCCGTTGACTTTTCACTACTGGACTCTTGGCAGTGCCAGCAACCGACAACCTCTGGAATGTCTCTGAGATCTGCTCTACAGAATCCGCTGACTTCTTCTCTCTTATAGCTTCCACCAGCCTTTTAAATTGCACAACCTCCTTCATTCGAATGTTCGTCTCATAAATGTCTGCATCATAAATTATATCGACGGCGTTCAGTTCCTCTTCTGTACAGATATGTTAGTTGAGTCCCAAGAACTAATGAAGAAATAGTTACCTGTGAACATAGCATGGAATGTAGCCCGAATGGACTCATGTTTGGTATCGCGTGCATGTAATGACAGTAACATTGCAGCGAAGGGGAAGGCAAATCTGGGTTCCATGTTCACCACGCCCATCGATATAGCAAGCCGGACCTGTTCATGATCTGTTTCCTCAGTGATAAAAGCATCTCGACGAATAGCGAGTACTGCTTTGGCCCACTTTCTCCACTCCGAAAACGTGCATAGCTCGAATAACCCAGTATCGATCAGCTGTTGCATAGAGACTTGACAGGCATGACCCTCGATGTCTAAGGTACTTTGAGTGAGGTACTCGCCGAAGTAGAAGTCTCCTGGTGAGAGGACAATACGACTAAGATAGTCGAGGTCGGAGTTATATCCATAGTAACAGTTTATTGCATCGATGTCGCGAAGAAATGTTTGTTTCGGAAGTTTCCGTGTATCAAGCATGATCAGAAATATCTCCGAAAGAACTGGCTCATCATTGTCTGTGGCGTAGCGGTGCAAACCGTGCTGAAGAACAAATAGCAGAGAGCTTGACCAAGACATAAGATTGCAGGTACCAGTTTTTGCGCAGTCCCATCGGAGGTGATCCCGCAGTATCAGAGATGCTGTCTCTGGGGGAAGGCTTAGAAGGTCCTCACAACAAGGACAGTCCTCTGAGTGCGGCTCGCCTGGATCGGGACAGGCTGGAGCCGATACACTCGTAGTGCTGGTTTTACCTTTCGAGCCTGGGGCGTGAAGCCGGAAAAGATAGGTTGGCGTGAGTTCGAAGGAAAATAGATCTTCGTCGCCTTTCTTCGGTATAAAGGGTTTAGACGTCATAATGTAGCGATTGATCAAGCTCAACAAGAGAATGAAGAGAGAAAATAAAACGACGAGACACTGGACGGACCGCACCTTGAACCTATTGGTAACCCCGCTCCGTCAGAAATCAGGCTCCCGGGGTCTTTTGACACAACCAACAAAATCACAAATACAATTGGACGCCTATCCACCGATGAGATCAGATGACACTGCCGCTGTCGTGTCATGTTGGTTCTTTTAAGCCTTGACCAATAACTTGCATGATACACGTCAGCATCGCAGCCTCCGTTTGAAGTAACCTCCAGGCCGCCCTTCACGACGTTTTACCGCGTTGTTTCGTGCTAACCTAATCTGCACGCCGAGTACATGGGGAGGCTAAAGTGTTTAGAAATGCAAAAATACTCATTCTAAGCTTCCCCGGAGGCTAAAAAATAATAGCACTGAAACGGAGGTATATTACTGAAATGTTTTCAATCTGCCTATCCTTGCTATTCTCACTCCCAAATTTTCCTCTTTTCACTAAAGCTAAGTCTGCTAGGATCATTCTCTTTCTCAGAGGGATCTCGAGACACTCGATGTTCATTAGATCTTTGACTCTGTGTGCTGTTCCTGGAGTGATAAGAGTCTGGCATAGGAATAGGGCGAGGAGGGGGCCTTCGGCTCGGTGCCCCGTTTTGGCTGTCAGGTGGAGGTGTCTGAAGGTGTTCAGGCTTCCGGCCAGGTACTGGTTTTGGACGGCGCGGAGATAAAGAACGAGGACTATCGATAGCTGGAAGCTGTAGTTCTCGAGACCGATCCGATGATACTCTTAGCAAAGGACTGTGAGCCTCGACATTTAGTTGACTTTGTGTTTTGCTAAACTCATACTGAACAGTTGCCGTGTTTGACAAAGAACTTGGTGTCTTGGGATCGAATTGATCTTCCTTTTTGTTGGCCATAATCTCCTCTGGAGGTGTCGTTGGTAAAGGGCTGGGAGGTTCAATATTTGGATGGTCTCGCTTTCTGCCAGGTAGCCATGACTTCACCTTATCCCTTTTGCGCCGGTTGCTGGGAGTCGAGGATTCGCCCGTATTAACAGTGGTTACCGGCGCGGTGGTTGGGGGGGTCGAAAAGCCAGACTGGAGGGAAGTCTGGTCAGACCCGGCGATGCTAGGTGCTTCGCTAGATCTTCGCACAGGGAAGTGAAACTTGTCAAACATCCTGCTCGCGAACCCTGTATACTCGCTAACCCTTCTGACATCGTCGTTTCCAATATGGTCACCCAAGATGTCAGTCAACTCACCAACCATGGCTAAAGCTTCTGTAGCTTTGATATCCGCCTTTCGCCTCTCAACTTGCTCCTTGAGCGAGTCCCATTCTTCTCGAGTTACATAATCGCTGCTCGCGTTCCGCTTCTGCTGGTCCTCAACTTGTTGTTCCAAGTCATTGACCTGCTGTTGTAGCTTCCCTTGGAAAGACTTCAGCAGGTCCTTCGTTTCCTGGTCCTTTCCCTCTTGCGCAGCTGCAAAGTCTTTGAAGAGCTTGGCCTGGGCCTCAAGTAGATCATTGGCTTCCTGAACCTTTTTGAAGGCATCTTGGACATTCTTCTCGTTACCAGTCAATCTTGCGTTAATCAGACCAGTAACGCCTTGGAACCGGCGCGCGAATTCCTCTTGATTAAGGTCGATTTTAGTGCCACGAACGGTCTCAGGATGGAGAGCTATAAGAAGTTTCTTGGCACATACAGCTGCCGACAAAGCGGCATAGTTATGCCAAGCATCGTTCTTGTGTCCATCGGCGTAGTCTGCGATACCACGTATTGTGATACACCCAGTCGATCTCATAACTGCGGCAGCTTCCATCTCAAAGCAAACAATGCTCTTTTCACGAGAAAGACGATCCCGCTCTTCGGCGCTCTTGAGCACCTGATCTGCTGAGCCAACAATGCCACGATGTGCTTCTATATGATTCGTAGGCTGCCGAGCGTTCCGGGCAATAAGACTCGGACCATTGATCAATCCAGGCTGTAGACACTCACAGCCATTGTCCTGATGAAGTAGAGAACTCTCCAGTAGGCGATCCTCGGCTGGGCGACGGTATCTTTCCCTCTTTCTCTCGCTCCTGTTTGCGATTTCATCGACGACATTTTCCACGGGGTCCTCATTCTCTTCCTCCAGCCTCCGTCGCACCTGTGTTACAGCTGTTAAAAGCTGTTGCGGTGGCTCCAGTCTGTCAGTGTCGATTTCGAAGCTATCGTCTAATCTTTTGCCTTTCATGTATTGTATGACAGAGTCTCCGAAGACTACATCACCTAGGCGAATATCTTCGTTCAAAGGGGCGCCTCCACCGATCCCAACAAGCAAGATAAATCGAATATAGGGAAAATTGCTTTTCATCTGGGACGTGATATCGGCAGCATGAAGGAGTCCACCCTTTACTCTGTGGGGAACGTTAATAACCACGTTGTGGCCTCCAATGCGCCCCAGTTCATAACAACTTGTCGCGTTGCTTCCTGGTCCGAATGAACTGTCTTGGTCTAGAGACCACCTCTCATCTAGAACATCCAATGCTGCATAGTATTCCTTTTCCACAATGCATACCCAGCCGATGAGAAAGTCGGACGGTTGTGTACCAGCCGGTATCGACATAGTGAGTGGTCTGTGGTGTGCAGATCGTCTGTTGTATACTTCTGCTTCTTCTAGTAGAGGCAGACAATTGATACATAAATTGGAAAGATACAAACAAAGGAGAGAAAAGAATAGGTGATGCTTCATGAGTAGAACTGAACTATGTGGGAATGTTCTCTATTTATGGAAAATGCAAGAGATAACTTGGCCTTATCTAAACGCCGCTGCAACCCTCCTTCTACTGGGGAAGCAAAGAATTCAACCTCAATAAAGGCAAATACATTTTGGGTTTACTTAGGTAGGTCTCGGAGATGGGCCCCCAACATTCTGTTTCTGCTCAAGTTTCCTGGTCAAATGGACCCCAAAGCATTTCAAGTGAATGGAGAAGTAAGATGGGAGCCCTCTTCGAGTCATGCCCAGACCAGAATCCGTCTCTGGATGGCGCAGCGCTTACCAGCGGACAATAGCACTGCCATCGAGCGGTTACGATTCATGACATGTACTGTAATGTAAAGTCTTGAGTTTTTTAATTGGCTAGTCTATCATCTATACAGGACAATGCTGTGGACTGCAGAGCCTGATTTGGTACGTATCTTGTAGTAGGCACAATGAATGATCTGATACTTTTGTTCATCTCTCCACGATTGGCTCTTGGCATGTGGTCAGACCAACTGTTTCAGTTCAATTGACTGGCTGAGCACGAGGCGTACAAGTGGTTCGACTGGCATCAGCATATGGTATACCCTTTTAGTTGAAGATGTCTTACCACCCCGCTTCGTCGAGTGTTAGGAAGGGAGCCTGACTCTTGCACATTGAAAGTATGGTAGGGTAGCATTGACTTACATATTGGGCTAACAATTGGCCATCATGAAAAATATGTATATTCCTGGCCGGCCTCTCAAAGTGGCAGAGGGGTTGGACTGCAGTGGTCTGGATTAGCATGTAGAAGTAGGAGTTAAGTGGTATCCGGCGCTACAAAAAAAGAGTTCTAAATTTATACCGTAACGTTAGTTGCCTACGAAGCATGTCATTGTCAAAGAGGAGCCTCTGGCCCCCATGAGCTAGACAGCCGAGAAAATGCCTTGCTACGATCCTTTGAATTTGGTTTGCATCGGCTGTTGATCGTTCCGCTCATGTTAGGTAAGCAACCTACGTTCTGTTCGCGAGTCGTGAGCTATTTTGGTACCTCCAATATCCGAATACTATACCGAGTAGTTAGTTGTTGCGAGAGCAACTCTTGTGAGATGGTGGAAAGTGAGCGCCGATAGATATTTAAGCTTCTTTAAGAAGCAGGTACACCTTCCGTCACATTACCAGTGACACTTCGGGATTATTTGTATACTCTAGGGCCTACGCTTGGCAGGGGCGATTATTGTTCTCAGCTTCTACGCCTTCAAGACTATGTCAATAAAGAATTAATCGTGGCTCTTTACCCTGAAGAATAGCGTTTATGGCACTCCCAAGTGATCATTGTTAACTTTGGAGGACTCAAACAGCATACCTTGGACCAGGAGCTTAACTTGTATAAGATTTAACATGGACTCTTATAAATATCTTGTGCTGTTACGTACATCTTCCGAAACTGCATTTCGACAAATCTTGCATAACACAAAGTTGTCTCCTTTCAAATCTCGGACAAAGTACCTATCGATCGGCGATCAGAATATCACGACGTCATGTCCAGCTCGAAGAGATCTCTACACACCTTGAGTGTGCAGAACCCACGCTTTCTCATTCATCCCTTGTTCTGAACCTCATATCATACCTCGATTGTAAATTGCGCCTTTCAGCAGGTTGCCAATAACGACACGAAATTCTATCCAATTAACCCTTTTGACGACACCGCAGACGACGCAAAGAGGCTCGCCACAGATCTTGGCCCAAGGAAAAAGTCTGTCTGGGTGCAGAGTATGTTTCCTCGTCCAGGAAGCCCCATTACCCAAATAAGTCAATCGCTCTATTTCTCATACCACGAACATATAGTTCAACACACATGTACGGATCTAAGTGCCTTTTGCATAAAGAAAGATCAGGTCGTCAACTATGGCGACCCCATCATCGGATATTACTGATACAACCTCAGCAAAGAGCGCCGGCAATTGCTGTGTCCAAGCCGCGCCCCGCGTGGCTTGACCAACGGCCCTGTCAAGCGCTTGTATGACATCCGATTTCGACGAGCTGTTCCCACAGACTGGCGGCAAGACCCTTACCTCATTTGCCTCATTCTGAGTATGGCCCAGTCACATCAGCGTATGGGTACCGTGTCTCTTACAGACGATATCCAGACACGTCTCCTCGTTACTCACATGCCAGACTCTGCCGACGCTTACGTGTACAAGGCCGATATCCCGCGGGAGCTACTAGAATGCCTTGATAACCCGAAGCGTTCCATGGATGATTTTGCTTTTCCCACCATCGGCTGGTTCAAGGTCCCTTTCGTTCCCTACTCGACATTTGCGGACCGTCTTCAGTCTCACTTGACCGGCCCGAGCCCTACAAGTCTCAGACCCTGTGGAAAGAATCACAGGCTCGATGAGATGGAGTGATTTAGCCAGGAGCCCAGCGTTTCGAGTTTTCACGAACATTTGGTGCTCGCTATCTCCCAATTCTAGAAGATAGCTTTCAAGGCGCAGTTGGGTTTGTTTCTGGAGTAGTGGGCTGTAATCCATTGCATCTTGCCAGAGAGAGACAGAAGAGACACAACTATTTTTGAGTTTTTCCGAGGCGTAAGTCCCCGATATACATATTAACGATGATAATAACATCCCGAACAATAGAGCATTTGTAAAGGTGTACCCAACAAAACAGCACAGTTTTGTTTACTCAAGTTACTACCTGGCAAACAGCTACAGAGCCAACAGAGACGGAGAAAACTACGCATTGTTCATGCCAAGGCATCGACGAGGTCCACCGCCAATCCCTTTTGACTTTACGTGAGAAATCAAAGCTACTGAGAATAATACCTCGCTACGGACGCAAGAGTGGAGGAACTAAGAGTCTACGACCATCCTGCTGCTACAGAGGTATGTCACGATACACCCCCCGCCTCCTGTTCAGAATCTCGAGACCCTTTCTCCTTAGAGAGGTGCCGATGCAGTTGGTCAAAGAGTTCAAACTAACAGATCTCCCATGAAGGTCATATACGAGCTGCACACGACTAGGCAGTTTCCTGGGCTGATACCGTAAAGACGACCACGATGCCGCGCCCCCCAAAATAAAGCTGCCTACAATCTTTCTACGGCCACCGGTACATAACACAACCAAGAAGCCTCAGATCAAGAACTCGATCGAAAACCCCATTCGGTTATCGACACCATCGGGACCGGACTTGCCCCATATTAGACCCAAACCTCTTTTGGAATACTTTTCTTGGTCACAATGTGTATTTCGCAGTACGTTACTTATGCCTGCGGCTGTGGGAAGGAGAGGCAATTCGATCACTGCCCAGAGCGCCAGGGAACTAACGTCCGATGTAATCCGATCACCAAAGAAAAGGTCCTGGAGTTGCCCACCTATTGCTCCAAGCACCTGGTCAAGCCAGAGGCGGAACTGAAATACACCGGTGGCGATGGAGTGTGAGAGCGTGCGGCTAATTAGGGCAGATGGCTTGAATTGAGGACCTGCGGTATAGATCGATGAAGTTTTGGAATAGGTCGACCTCTTTTAGGTTCTTTTGGAAAGCATACGAGACGAAAGGATCTGACAGTTTAGACAAGCACTTAACCTACTTTGTTTTGGTAGCCTAAGCCTTTGAGGACATGTCTCCTTTTACTCACCTGGATTTGTGGATAATATGCGACAATGCCACCTATCTAGGCTTTGAGAATGGCGCATCCGAATAAACGACACTGAATAAAGAACACTTTCAATTACATCTATCTGACTGCAACACATTGCTGAACATATCTTTGTGGCAGCTATCTTCTTGTGCCTCAGGCTATAGCTACTTGAACACCTTGCTACCGACCGAAATTTCGCCTCTTGGCGGCATCATCGAAACATCCATATCCCATTGCCGTTCTATCCACTTTGGCCGAAGTACCCGCATCTTCGAGCAATCTCTGGCAGCTGAGCTGGTTTCTTAGTTCCTCCGCAACTCGACTCCCACAGTCGCTGTGCCTGTTCACAGCATCGAAAATGTTCCAAAAAGCCTTCTGGCGCATGTACTTTGTCTCGGGCGACCAAAGCACATTCCTCGATACGGAAACCGATGATTCCTCTTTCGAGAGCAAGCTGGCATCCAGCGCATGCTATTCCGTTCTCGACCTTACCGGTGAGTTTGTCATAGTAGGGAAGTGCGCATGACGCCATGAGGTTGAATTTCGGTGATGGGAATGGCCTTAGTGGTCCGGCTTCTTCCAAAGAATTGTTCTCGCGGCTCAGAATCAAATCAGTCTGGTGACGAGAAACGACTGTAATTCGACGTTGGTGCATAGACCCGCCAACTATTGTATATTTGCCAGGCAAGGCCTTGAAGGACCTCAGTTGTTTTGACTCGTTTTTTGTCAAGTGATGCTCTTTTGGGGCAGCGGTACGAGTGTGCACTTGGCACTCTGGAGCCTTCTTGATACATCCGAAACAGCATCGCTTCCAGATCAGGAGGGAAACGAACCCGCCGAATTCGCCGCATAGACTACAATTCTTGGTACACAGAATGTCGTAGAAGTCAAGTAGAGGGGTGTCGATCGCAAGACTTGTTCGTAGCAAAGCACAAAAAAGGTTGAGTCCATGTGAGACCACCATCTGATACTGCTTCAAAGAGTCCACCATCTGTCTCGATCGGAGATTGGTCTGTCGGAACTTGAACAACGAATGTACGTCTAGACGGAAAAGCACATCGTTTAAGAGCTCGGGGGGTAAACAATCAAGGATGCCTAGTCCGACATTCGAAGTCCGCGGGAAGGGTGTTGCTATTGAGGGACGAACATCGGCATGTTGATCAGGTGAGAACCAGATCACAGCGCGGTCGAAGTCTTCACGATGGTAAGAGACGGTCCGAATAATGGCGTCCTTGTCTTCATCTTTGAATCGGTGATCGGTGACAGAGCGGTATCCGGGACGTCGAAGGGTAGCCATTTGGGGACTTGAAAGAGACTAGACGAAAGGATCATCCTATTCTCAGAGTAGTTTTAGTGTTTTGGCATACCTTCTTTGTCAACTACTTAATCAGTGCTGGCTTCTGTGCAGCTCACCTGGAAGAGCCGATGGGGGAGACTTCGAATGCGAGAGCTATGTGTCAAACTGGGTGAGGCGTTCGGTCAGGGTTGCAGAATCCGTGAATCGATCGCACGCGTCAAGGAATGCGGGCAAGTTGTAGAATGAGACTAAAAACAATGATGTGAAGTCGAAATGAAAGCACGCTTGTTTGTGGTCGGAAGGAATTTTGGTTGTTGCGGCGCGCGCGGCGTAAATAAGAAACCACACTAGTGCTTAGCCACAAACGATGGTTACACAACAATTCCCCACCGGGCACGTTGATGGTCTCGTCCTCAGGAGTTCAGAACAATTGGCGGCTGGAGTAGGGGCATGAAAGATGGAATAATTTGGTCACTTGATGCTGGACAACTCCGCTGCTGCCTGCTTGGCGGTTTTCGAAGTGGATATCATGGACTCTTCGTCAAATGACAGAATATGTCATCTGGCGGTATCTGTACGACAAAGAACAGCTACCCTTATCCATTGAAAAAGCCTTTTAGGACGCTGAACATGACAGGCGATACTACGGAACTCCAAGTCCTTGGTCATTTTGTCCATGGAAGTTACAATGGTAATTTATTTGCGAGTTAATACCGGCTAAAACTCGGAAATTACATAGCACATTAATTGTGGAACGTCAGCCACGACTGTATTGATGGTACTCCGAGACAAGTGATATTTGATTTTGCCGATATTTGTGCGAGCCCCCTCTTACTTTCCTATCGTCAAATTCTCATTAGGTTGCTAGGCAGTGAATTTTTCCATTGCGTTGGCAGTGTCAGCCAGCTGCTAGAAGTCTGGGCCTACGACGGGCAAAGCAATATTTGGAAAGCCAGTTACAAGATCTCAAAAGTTGGTGCTTCATCCAGAGACATCTTGTCGTGCAGGTCATGACGGTCCCAGGACTGCGGTGCACGGAGAAGATCAGTGCTCCGCCCATGAACTGCCACGAAACAGTGTCACCATTTGCCGGATCCATACATTACTTCCGCAGTACTAAAAAGTTTTCTTCATCAGGCGCTTGAACAAGCATATCGCTCATCTCGAGACCCAGGGGCAATCATTAACCTGTCTCGATAGAGTCTACTTATAGATTAAGGCAAATACTCCTCGCTTGTTATTTCTCCATCAGATGTTAAGGTCACAGGATAGGTGGGTGCTGTTGAGCAATCATACTACTGAACGGAAATAGCTTTGTACCTAGATTAACACAACGATCGGATGATTTATAACAGACTTTGCCAGAGTGAGGAGATACCTATTGCCGATAGGTTATAGGCGAATACGTGTTGAAGCCTAATTGGTTAAGAAAGCAAAAAAAAAAAGAGAACAACAAACATCTGCCAAGCTTCGTTGGTCCATAAAGCTACTGATGCATAGGAAAGGAACGGCTCCTAGTGTCGGATCACTACTAGTCTCGAATTACAATTACTAATGATCTTTAACCCCGATGTATTAGGGGAATTCACAGTTCTGGCGAAGCAAGGATCTTATTGTGATTCTGATACAATTCGCAAAAGCGCGTGGGCTGAGATAAATCCTAAACAACATTCAATGACAGTGAAGATCTCTTCATTTCGACCATGTTCTGGGCATAAACTATTACTCATACTCGCTCAGTTCCATAACGTCGACCGGGAATTATCTAGCAGCCACTTCCGCAAGACCAATAATGGTTGTAGCAGCTTCCAAAGCTAGCTGTCTTCCTGCACTTAACACCGCTCGTTCCCACCGCAGAGCAAGAGTTACCACCGTTCTGAAGAGCCGCAAGGAAGGTATTGCGGGCTTCATTGGCAGAGATGCTAGAGCATACATGGGTACAGTTATAGGTGCAAGTGCCACCGCTATCACCGGTAGCAGAGCAGGTTCTCTTGCAGGCCTCAACGCCGGCGATGGCGGATAAAGCGTAAACGACGTAGATTATGTTGACCATCGTGATTGAACTACTGGGAGGTTAGCAGAAGGTTCGGAGGGGTTTTTGAGAAAGAGAGTAGAGGTCCGTCGTACATGGGTGAGGAGTGATAGAAGGAACTTTGCTTGGGAAGGTGGTATGTTTCTTTTGAATGTCTGATGATAAAATGAAAAGTTTTAAGAGGAGGTGCATGGCCTTTATATATGTCAACGACCATCTTGAAAGATGCTTTCGATGGCTAGCCTCTCTGGTTAAGTCCTTTCCAAGTCCTCAACCACATGATTCCCTTCTCAACACGGTAGCTCATCAATGCGGATGTAACGATAGCATGCACTATTCCAGATGATCCATCGCACACACGCGGAACGTGGTACTTGTCCCTCGTATGACAACGCCACACATTGAGCATGTACAACCATAAACGTGAGTCTGCCTTCTGTCTTTGGAATCTCGTAACTGTGAGACAGATTTCAAAGTCTAGACTGTCGATCTTGTGATCAGTACTCAATCTGCTCATAACGATGTAGTATCACTCAGCCAATCGTGCTAATCCCTCGACACTGTCTTTTCTAAGTTTTCAATAGTGTAATGCAAGTATGTTTCATGTGGAGTTCCATGCTACGTTATTTTTTCAGCTCATGCACGTTGGCTCTCGCCCGGACCGTTGAAAACAATACCTTCCTAATGGGTAAAAATAAAAGCCAGAAAGGAATGATCTCCGGCGGATATGCAAGTAGGAGAAGCCGAGCGGGCCAGGCCGCTCTAATACAAGCGAATACGGCACTTTTTCGCCCTATCATCCAATTCTTGGCGATATTGCAATGCCGACGACCCGGTGGCTTGAAAGTTGTTCTGCACATCGAGCCTTTTGAAAGCGATCTCCTAGGTTGCTTGTTTCGCGGTTTTGTACTGATAACAATCAATTAGCCGGTTCAGCCGCAGAACAATATCACTGATGGCTATTTTACCCAGGTTTCGAGCTAGCGTCGAGAATCTGTCTGGTTGGGTTGGTTGAGCTTGGTGCTACCATCACACTGAGATATATAATGCATCAACCTTCTGCCAATAGTGACTACATTAAAGCATACTTGACCTGTGGGTAACCTTTTTTGGTCGGTATGTGCAACATGCAATGCCTTTAAACTGTTGTGGGTTGGCAAAAACGGAGAGGAGTTGTTTTATCTGTATACTCTGCAGGACCTGCTCCTCAGAAAACCTTGATCAGACGCAGAAAACCCCGAATTTCCAGATGTAGACGATGTCCGAGACAGAGACGGCGACTTCCACGGGGGGGCTGACCAATATCAGGACTGGGTCAATGCTAATGATGTAGTCTGGGTTCGAGGCGTAGGTCTAAAATCAACCTATATTCACCGAATTGAACATGCAGAAGAGGACTACTTCAAGAGCCTTGTTTATCGGACTAATTGAGTGGAAAGAGGCGCTGTTTTGATCGACTGAGTGGGTAACCCCCGTGACGAATGATCGACCAATCAGGGTACTGCATTCGCTGACAATTGGTTACCAGTCAGACGCAGATCACGGCAGGACCCTTACTCAGTAAGAGAACGTGCGAATGCAATGCCACCAAAGCAAACGGGATTTGGTCCTTTCCGTCTTGGAGGCTCCTGGAACCATCTTCATGGATACTGCGGATCATTCGCTCGGACTGATTGACTAGGGGCTATCTGTCTTTAATCCGATGACCAGAGGGTTCTTATTAGCTAGCAGTACCTTTCCCAGGTCCTGTCTCATGATTATTCCATCTAGATATTTGAGATATTCTGATATAACGCTTCCGTCGGCTCACAGACCCACATCTTCTTGTTCTGGCCGATATCATTCCTTCCACTTAGCTACCCGTGACGCGCACAATGGTAGGGCGCTCTGAATTGAAACTGACGTAGTGCTCCGGAGTCATCCCCACCATCCAAATTGACACCGAGTAGCTGTCGCCCGTCTCGTCGTAGAATGTATATGTGAAAGGCCAATCCGCGCGGATCTCGATCTGGTATTCCCACAGAGGGTTGGCGGCTTTTTGGTTACAGTACATGTGAATGCCCGTCTTTCTGTAAAAGTCACTTCCCTTGCCAGGCCAGTTGACTACGCTGTCGGCTGGCCAGTGGACCTGCACGTCGAAGGGTTCGCGAGTCATGTTGTGATGTGTGTGAGACTGGATGTAGATGATTGAAACAAAGCAATTTTAAGAGAGAGTTGCAAGAGGATTGATGCATTTATCGACTTGCCAACGGGCGTCGTAGGCTCACTTTATAATTATGTCAAAGTTCATAGCGCATACATAATGTCGCTGTCCACTAGCTTGGTCTAAACCTGTCACTCTCCCCGCCAGGGCTATCGGCCATTACCCACCCAAGATTTGTACTTTTTTATCTCACTAGCTTATCAACTATCGAACGATAGTAAAAAGACTAGCCATCTAATCGCAGGGCTGTCAATTCGCCTATTGTACGCTTCTGGAAGAATATTTGAGGCATTATATGCAAAAGAATGGCCCAGACCACTCACTGACCCTAGCAAAGCCATTGTATCTTGACTTTTCAGCTTGCCACTAGTCACTCATGTCTTACTACCCCGCCCTGGTCGACGCTCAACCCGAGGAAAAGTCGATAGCTTTCAAGACTGACTGACACAGCAGATTTCAGCTGCATTGATCCGAGTAGCTGTGGATTGAAATATGCAGCCGCTTCACTCTTCATTCATTCCCACCCGATACAGTCACGCAACCAATGTTCATTTTTCGACAAATCATAGAGACCTAGTCCTTTGTGTCGTTTTTGTTGACAATATTGGAGACGTCGGTAGGTTTCCATTCTAGTCCCCGCCCCAAAAATTAGACCCCTGTTGACCTCGTCATGTTCCTCGAAAGCTTTGAGAGAAATTAATCTACCTAATCAAGCACCGTTTTCGTGAGGACATATCTCTCAAGTGAGCGGTATTACTCCAGCATGGGCACTGGAACTGGGCTGGGTCGGACGGGGTGGTGCTTGGGGCTGAAGCGAATCACTTCGACATAAAGCTCAGTTACAATCATTAGGATCGACTTGTATTTGAGTTTTGTAAAACAGGGTACATAGCTCTTGGAAAATCATGTAGTTGAGAGTTAGTGATGCGCGGCGGGCCACCAAACGAACAGTTTTTCCTCTTCGTCTTTCCGCTTAAACTCCCGGCTCTGTCGACAGTTAAGATTCCAATGGCTCCCCAAAAACGTCCTTTTTGCCATTTGTCGTCGTTTCCGTGCGTCAGTCTTGCCCTGTAAGGTTTCGATCGCATGGGAAAGTCTGTCTAAACAGCATGTGATATGATGAATTTTTGGAAAGATTAAATGGAGATTTCCTACAAGCTCAACCTCTTCCCCTTAGGCAGAGGAGTCATTATGCCTCAAAGGAAAGTTTAGATACGCTCATAAACCTTAGGTGATGCTGTCCAGACTCGTAGCATTAGTTGAAGGTTTGGGAGGATGGCATGTGGAGTAACATTGCACGTCCAGCCTTGTATCACAAACTTACTCTGGCCTTAAAGTCTGCCTTGCACATTATTAACTTTTCGTAATGCCCTTTCATCCTGAGTTATACGCACAAGCAATCTGCTAATTGACTTTGTTGTATAAAGAGTTTCGAGAATGCAGAGACTGTCACCACTCAGGCCTGGCGGATGGCCCAGCATGCTTCGGGACATGTTCGTCAAGAAAAACTGAAAAGCTTCAGAGAAAAAAATGGTCTAGCTTTTTTCAATGCAACATTAGACTTCAAAGCACTCATACTCTTGGGTATATAAAGAGCAGTACAGGTTCAAGGTGTCTGTCTCGTCCTTCATCCGTCCCCATCAACCATCACCCATCATTTTCGATCCACATCTACACATACAACATATATACCCAGAAACCATTCACACACACCACGTCATGACTACCTGGCAAGAATTCGCCCAATACCAGGCGTCCAAGGAGCCTTTCCTCAAAAGGATCACCACACTGCAAGGATTTTACAATGCCTGTACCGACTCCGCATTCCTTGCCATTAGCATCAAGGATATCAAGAAGACAAGCGACTCTGATCGTGTCCTCGCTCAAGTTGGATTGGCCTATCTGCCATCATTGGAGCCAGGTGAACATCTTGAATGCAGTTCAGCAAACATGCCAAGTCTGGTTCAGTTCTACAACCACAAACGCGTCAAGGCCTTGACCCTGAATGTCCGCATTCCCAAGGACGAAATGCGTCAGATTCTGGCGAATGGAGAGATGCCTGTTCGTCGCGATGTTCGGTTTGGTCAGCACCAGGACGGGGTCCTTACTGAATACTTGGATGCTTCAATCTCCGGTTTCCTCGATGGCTGTCTTCATAATTCTCACAAAAAAGACCGCAAACTTGTCTGTGTCGGCTTCAATGATAAGGCGTGGACCTACATGCGAAATTATTTCCCCAACGCCCTGTACTATTTCTCGGCCTATATGGATCTTCGGGACATCGTCAGAGAGGCGACGCCAAACACTGGACACATACCGTCATTGAAGAAGTGCCTTGAACTGTTCCACTTCAACGGGGAATTAACACGCACCGAAAAGGTTGGGGAAAAGACTGACAACGCAGGAGAACATGCCGTCGGCGTCTGTGCTTTCGCGACTATCCTACTTTCTGAAGAGAACCAAGAGATGTTCAAATATCGCATGGAATGTGCCACTATGGCGCGTCATTGGGAACACAAGAGAATCCGCCGGAGATTCACAGCTGAGGCGAGATTCCTGGTCTCTGTTTGCACTGCAGCCAGAGAGGCTTTGCCTTACGAGCTCAAGACAAGTTGGAGAATCGCCCAGCACTTCCACCCCTGGAATCCCAAATATGCTGTGAGGGCATCTCGGACTGAGGCTTACGCTCAGTTCCAAAACAAGCCCGACATGGAGATGTTCATCAGAGACATGAATGGAGCGGTCTACCCCTCTGGCGAGATACTGTCTGTTAAGACTTACGAACAGAGAGAGGAGGAGCTTGAGGAGGAATCGGGACAGGAAGATTGCGACAATGAAGAGGAGGAGGACCAGCAGGAATCGGGTCAGCAACCAGAGGACCATCAGCAAGGATTGGGCCAGCAGGAGGAGACCCACGAGCACGCAGGTGACAAGCAGGAAGACAACACACAGCCGGCACGTCTTGAAAAGTCCCAACAGCAGTACTGTGAACGCCCCGACAAAACATGGATCTTCCAAGAAGTGGAACAGTTCCTGGAGCGGGTGAAGAATTGGACATACCCAAGTGCAAGGGAAATGACTAACCCTCAAGAGACCGAGGGGGAGGATAACAATGTGGAGACGGAACAACAGGGATGGGGTCAGCCGGAATGGTGTCGGCAACAGGAGATCAATCGGCTCACATCTCTTCGGCAGAAAGAGGACCAATACTGGGACCAGAAGGAAGATTGGGCACAGCCGCCAAAATGGGACTTCCAAGAGAAGGAAAATCAGCAACAAGAGATCCAGGAGAGGACTGCTTGGAACTCAGCAAGGGAGGTTTGGCCGCGGTACGAGGGGGAGTCCTCAGAGGAGGAGACTTCGGAGGAGACTTCGGAGGAGGAGAGTGAAGAGGAACAGGTGAACGACAAAGAACAAGTGGAAGAGGAGGAGGATAACCTCCACGCTTCAGGATGGTTTGGAGAGGATGAGATGCCTGAGCTCGTAGAAGCCAATCCTGAGACTGATTGGGAGGTTATTTCTGACTAGGTTTATACTTTACAGATTTGTTTGAAGTTTGAGGGAGATGGAAGACTATGGAAGCTATGGGATTACTAGGTTCGAGGAATCCATATTTTCCCGATGGGGCTTGTCGAGCTAGTCCACGCCCTTGCGCCTTGCAATCGACATAGTGGGGCGCAGCCATGTAAGCCATAGAAAACAGTCATATAAATAAGCACCAACAACTTCGATAGAATTAATCATCATTATCACCAAAGTTGAACATCATCAAGCTCACAAATGTCTCAAACAACATCCCTTCCCGACATTCTCTCCTCATTCACCGAGAAGTGGTCCCCACGTCTCGTCGCCTCAATCAACGACCATCACGTCAAAGTCGCTAAAATCGACGGTGCATTCATCTGGCACGCGCATCCCGACTCGGAAGAGCTATTTTACCTACTCTCTGGGAAATTGACCATGGAGATCAAAGATCAAGAACCGATTGTCATGAAGGAGGGCGACATGTATGTTGTGCCAAAAGGTGTCACGCATAGACCCGTGGCGGAGAATGCCGTTATCATGATGGTGGAGAAGGAAGGGACTGTTAATACGGGGGATCAGACGGATTCGGAGAGAACGAAGGAGGTTAAGGATGTGAGAGGGGAGAATTGAACGTGCGAATCATCTTAATTGTTGGGGGAATAAAATATCTACATCACGTTACGCCAGTGTTGTCTGAATTTGGATACCCTACAGAGAACATCACGTGACCCTTTAGCGAAAATGGAACGACTGGACATTGTGGAGATTGGAGGGGGAAGTAATATAATCATTGCTCGACTTTTCCATGGAGGTACAGAAAGTCATCCACTACCAGCCCATTTTCACCTCCCAAGATGGCGCTGCCGGAGAGCGATCAATTTGTCATGTCCCAGAGAGATGAATGGATTATGTCCAGAGTAGCACCAACTACCAGATACCTGGGGCCCATCTATTCGTCCCACCTTGATGAAGCCATCGTCTTATCGGCCTATCTGAATGGCGAAATCACCCCCGAAGCAGCCGCGCAAGAAATTACGAAACCATCAGTGGTCTATTCAAGGTGCTATCAACTAATGAATCTTTTCGTATTTGCTTTGAGACAACTAGATCAAGACACCGACATGATCCTTGGCCTGCTCCTCGCTATTCAAAACCTACCCTGTACAGAGAGCCTTTACTGGTGGAAGCTGCCGGGCTTTGGAAAGCTATGGCAGATACATTACAATTTATCTTCAAACAGAAACTCAAAGGATCCAGCATTTTTTACAGCGACTGGTATTTTGGAAGCGAAGATGTATTTACTTGATCTTTATCCTGTTGATGAGTTGTGGGTGCACAGAGTACTGAATTTGATTTGTCTTGAGAAACCCAATTTGGAAGAGGTTATCTACGAGATCCATGCGTGGTTGGCTATTGCAGGGACAAAGGTCGCGGAGAGAATGCAGCCTGAGCAGATCAAGTCTTTTGAAAGATGTGTTAGGGGCCGGAGGGACAAGACTTATGAGATACAGGTTACTATGTATGAGCATTGGGAGCACTGGAAGAAGAGATTCTTGCAGGTTAGTTATGATGAGGAGTATCTTTCGGCTGGGAGCAGAGAGATGTCGAGGAAGTGTTATGAGATTATGAAGGGCCTTGTAGTTAATCCACCAAACCCTCCTGGGTATAGCTAAGGTATTCACTTCGTCAATCATCCAAGTTCTACTTGCGGACGTGTTTTACCCTCTCTATACAATTGCCCTCGACGCAAACAATGAAAAGCGTATTGGTAAATCACTAAAAACGAAACAGATATTGCAAGAGAAATAGCGGGGAAATCCTTTGGCATTTTCGACGAGGCGAATGGTACCTTGTTGCTATTGGCCTTTCAATAAAGGATTACCATGGGTCGAAGTAGGTCCCGACACCTTTCGAATCCCAGTCAATAGCGTGGTGTAGCATAAACGGTGAGGCTTGCTCGATGCCGAATCAGAAGCTGGAAATATCATCTACCCATCACCTACAGCTAATCCCTACTTCTTTGACTAGCTATTATCATATCGCCACGTTGCTCGTCTGTGAACATTCTGTTCCTTTGACGAAGAGTCTAAGCTTGGTCTAGACCATACTTTTACTCAAGTAGGTTGGGGTTAACTGGCAACACCCTGCTTACGTTATTTACCACATTACAAGTATAGCGCTAGACAACCAAGGTAGGACATCTGATGTCTTTTACTTTTGTTCAAAAAA